ACAGGATCATATCATATGATTTGCTTATCCAATGATAATGCTCGAACCAAAATCGGAAATTTAATTTTGCAAATTGACTTTTATTTTACATAAACATACTCACTTCTGTTTTTGCTGTATGCAAAACCTTAGCCAGGAATACTACTAAAGGGATTGTGGAAGGTGGAAGTTGATTAAAGAAAAGTTAATAAAAATTGTATGAAAAAGATAATTTGCCTTTTTTTACTAAATTTTCTTCATTATTTTGAAAATACAGCTCTCTCTTTTATAAAAAAAATAAGTAAATAAATAAATTTTTATGTGTAATAAATTTAACATTTTAAACTATTAAGTTATTTGGAATGCCCACGTGTCGGCCTAAAACCAACACGCTTGATATTTTAGTAAATAACGACGGACCACTAGCTGCACTTTTTGTTTTTTATTAATAACAACAACATTAGGTATAAACAACAACAACAGCTGGGGATATTGTGGATTTCGAAAGGGTTTAAGAGGTATTTATCCGCATCCAATGTTTATCGAGTCTCACAGGAGAATAATAATTTTCCCTCTTTTTCTCGTTACGCTAGGAAAACCATAACTTCAACATAACTAATACTCAATCAGAATCTTTAAGATAAATTTCAAAATTTTTCACATGAAATTCAACTAAAAATACAAGTGTTACATAAAATTATATACAAATATTCAGATGAATATACAACTATTTAATTTTCTATCGGCAGTACACTCAATCTGGAAACAGACCTTTTATATACTCCCTTACAAGTTTTTACGTCAAGTACCCTTATTTTATTATCTTGCCCAGGATACAGTTTTACTATCCGACCCAAGACCCATTTGCATGGGAAAAGGTTTTCTTCTTTTATCAAAATCGTATCCCATAAACCATTATCAAAACCTATTTTTAAATTTTTCTGATTTTTACCCATTTTTTTTTCTTTGCTGTTAGCTGTTCAGGTAAGAAAGGCTCCATTATTTCCAGATTGTTTGTACTGACTTGGTAATTCTCTGCCAAGAGTTTAAACGACTAGGCTCGATATCAGTTAGGGATGGTTCAGCTATGGCCGTTATCGGCCTCCCAATTAAGAAATGTGCCGGTGTTAGCACTTCTACAATTTCAGAACTAAGAGGAATAAGAGGTCGAGAGTTCAATATTGCTGCTATTTGAGTTACGAGTGTTAAAAATTATTCGTAATTAAATTCAGAATTACCTGCTACACGCCTAAAATGAAATTTAAATGATTTAATGTTCGATTCACAAAGCCCTCCCCAATTTGACCTCCTGGGGGGAATAAAGCTCCATTCAATTTTTTCCTCGCCAAAAAATGCAAATAATGATTCCTCTCGATCGATGTTGCGCACCAACATGTAGATACTTAACTTAATAGTATTTAACGATTATTTCAGTTAACTTACATTTAGAAGGCAATAAAATGGGATGTTTACTCGAGTACGATAATTGAGAATTTTCTAGTCTGCCACCCACTCTCAATAACCCTTCTTCATCTAGAATAGGTGATAGATTAAAGATCTTACTTTTATTGGAAACGCTACCTCCCGACTTAAGAGCTGCTAATTCTCTAGGAAACTCTTAAAAAATCTAAATAACCTAATCTAGGAAACTCTAAAAATCTAGTTAAAAATCTATTGCTACGATTAAACAGATTATCAAAAAAAGTTTTGTCATGATTTAAAGTCAAGACTATAGTTTCTACTGAGTTTTTGGATTTTAGTTCAGGTAAATATTCTTCTTCATTTGGCACTGGATCAGTCAAATTCACTCACAAGTTCATAGGACAACAAAAATGAAGGACCATGCCACCACTTTTTGCTGTGTAGAAGCGACTCTGCACTGAGACCTCTTGTCAAACAAGTCTGAGGGATTTTTCTTTCCGGCGCAGTGAAACCAAGTATTAGGATCAGTCAGCTTAGTGATTTCTCGAACACGATTAGCGACAAATTGTTTCCATTTTTTCTGAGATTTCTTACTCAATATATTAACATTTGATGCTGAATCGAAAATAAGTCTATATTTAATTAATGACCTATCCCTTTTTTACGAGAGAATATTTCCAGTAGATAATAAAACATTCTTTTTATTTTCATTAGAAGTATTACTTAAAACCGCATTATGAAGAGAATTCATTTCCGCAGTGGAACTTTTGTTTTCATTTTTTATTTCTGATCCTTCGAATGCTGAGTTAGCGATTTGATTTTCTGACGCCAGATGCTTTCTTTTCTCAGCGACAGCTCGTCTGAAACATAATGTATTCGAATGGCGTTGACCACAATTATACATACATCAGACGATTAGCAACAACATATTTCTCGTGAAACTCGAGATAAATACAAGAATAAAGAATTATGTTTCTCTGATATTCGTTTTCACAATTCCTAATAGTTCCTTTCCGAAAATTTATTTTATTCTATTTATTAATTCAGCTTATTATTACTAATGAATGTTATTTATAAAGTCGGAGTTTAGTTAAAAAAAAAAAAGCTCGATTATTTAGGATTTCTATTAAAAAAAAGTGGGAATCGCTGTTCCGTAGTTTCTCTATGTAAAGAACTCCCCTTGCTTTTCATCTAGAATAGTAGCTGTGACTATGGTTACGAGGTTTGACTATTTCTGGTAGGGGTGTTGGGTCATTTTTTAAGACATGTTTTGGCTTGGGTCGGTGAGAGAAAGGGAATCAGGGGAGAAAGAAGCTCCTCTCTTTAAAATGTGCGATTTCGTGTTTCCATAGCAGCAGACGGGTGGCAAAAAGGAATTCTTTCTATCGACCAACTATGGCATATTCTTGCGTCAGTAATATGCTCTTAAATACCCTTGAAAAAATAACTTTTTACAAATTGTATTAAAAAAGCTAAGAATAAACAACATTGCCTTGTATATGTTTTAAAATAAATATATTCTATTGTAAAAAGTGTGCATTTTTTTTCTACTTATAGTGATTGATTGTCATGCAAACGTCAATAATTTAAATAGTTTATCAGCCAAAAAAACTCAAAAAAGGAGCCGAAATCTATTTTTCTACGTTTCAATGAAAATTTTAGGTACTTGGGCATTGAAAGATGTTTTAATAACTGTTTAGTGGAAAAAAATAATCCATACCCTTTGAATTTTTTAAATTTGTTATGCCTTTATTTAATTGAATTATTTTTATTAACTTCCATTCATGGTTTTGAAAATTATTTTCGGATTACAACTGGTTAGCATCTCAAATGTTTTTTTTTTTTTTTAATTATGCATGGTTAAAAAATGCTTTATTTGAGTTTTGGGGGCAATCGAAATGTGCTTACATTTGTTAAAATTCTTGCATCATATCTTAAAAATAATTTATTTCACTAATGTGAAGTTTTTTTAGTTCGTTTTTAAGCATTATGGCATGTTAAAGGGGTCTAAAACATTTTTGAACCCGCGGGACCTGCATGCTATTAAGACGGCCCTGGTTTGCTCAGTCAAGTCTTTAAATATTCAAAGTGCCTAAATATTCAATGTCTCAAAATATTCATAGAGGGAAGAAAAATCCTTTTTTTTCTTCTTTCTTTTTTTCTTTTATAAAGTTTAAACTTAAACCAAGACATCACACTAGTAATTCAATTAAATTTCAGCTTTAAAATTTAAAGTTCAGTGAACTACAAAAGAAGTTATGTACTTAAGAGCAAATTAATGAAGAAAACTGCTTGATTCTGGTAAATTTTGATTATCATGTGATGGCGGCCGGGATCAATAGCCTCATTTTCAGTTCCAAATGAATTGATATATTTCAATTTTAGTAAGCTAAATTTTATTTTGATGCATTGAAAGATTGGTGTTGGTTGATCTAATGACGTTAAGTCAACAAATTAATAATAAATTAAAATAGAATTGTTTTAACTTTATTATTCATGTCAGTACACGTATTTCAGTTTTGTGCAGATGATTAGTAATAATTTCTTGATTAATTACTTTTTTTCACCTCTTGCAGAGAACGGATATTCAGCTAATATTGAATTGTAACTTATTTCAGATTATTTACTTATTTACTCCGATTAGTATTTATATTTGTTGTATGAAGTCATTAGATTTGGCAGGTGAGCTTACATAATTCTGAAGCCTGATTTTTTAATAATAATTATATTAGTTACATCATTGTATATTACATTATCTTACCAATATTATTACAAGAAGGAGGATCTCAAAATTAATTTTAAATTAAAAATGCATAACAAAATTCAATATTTAGGAAACATTAAAAAAAAAAAAAGTCCCGCAGTGGACTGATCGTTAAGACGCGGTTCCCAGCAGATCACCGAAGTCAAGCATCACTGACTACGGTCAGTGTGCGGGTGGGTGACCACTTGGATTAGCCTGCGTAGGGACCGATGGTGTGCGGTATTGGTCCTCGTTAAACTGTTCTACCATAAAGTGCTCGACTTCGCGTGCCGGTCGTCGGGCTACCGAAGCGGGGGTGCCATCCCCTCTGCAGAGGATCAAAATTGTGATGGCATATCCTCGGATCATCCTCAGGGATGTTTCCCAGACCGTCGCCATATCCCATTGTGCAGCTCTAGTGCGACGTAAATGAACAACAACAACAACAACAAAATTAAAAAAAAAAAATTAATATTTCAAAAAACGACGCAACCGTGAAACTGAAAATTTTCGAACAGCGTGATAAAGCAGTAGATCATATAACAAGAATGTAGCCTACGAAATTCAATCACAGATAATCTTTGCCGTACTTAGGTAGTTGGAAAAAAAATTGCTGAATTCAGATTAAATCAATAAAAAATAATTTTTTTTTAGATACTAAGCTAAAACACTATAGGTTATTACAAATTTAGTCAAATGAAAATGTTACGCAGGTGCGGTTTCTGTACTTCAAACAGCGAATAAGCCCTCAAAAAGTTCGCTCAAAGCAGTAATAAAAATTGTTCTATTTTTTAAAAATTAAATCATGTTTTTTTTCGTTATTTAGCAAACTTATATTTGGTAGATGAAATCAGATACAAAATTTAAGTGTGTCAGCTGTCAGCTCGTAACTTCAAACGTGACTGTATAATTAGGTTATTATGACGCATTAATAATTTCTCTATTAAAATAATATATTCTTACATAAAATTAATTCCAATTATGTTATTTTTAAGTTTTTGGCAAGTAATTTATTCTCTATTATAAAATCCTTTAAATTTAACATTTTAATAGTACGTTTGTTTCAACATGACCTCTCTACTACATTTGCATTTTCTCAAGAGAAATATTGCTAGTTTGTTGAGAAGAAATTCTAGAAGTATTCAGTTATTTCTTCGTAAGTATTAATTTAAGCTTTACGAGAAGCAAAAGTACTGTATTTAGTTTTTAAACTTTTGGTTTTTAATTGTACAAGAAAATTAGTTATAGTTTTAATTTAATAGATGGCAGCACAAGTCATCTATTAAATTTGGAAAAAGCAATCTTTTTTTTTCCTTCCCTGTGCGCGTTGAATCATGGGACTTTCACATATCTCGTACTTGTGTAAACATGACATGTTCTCTTCCTTCTCTGATGTCTGTTGTTAGTTAGCAAGCACGTACTTCATGTTTCTGATATGGATAATTTGAGTTTTGCTTAAGGAAGTTATTTGCACGTTTGTTTTGAGAATCTACATTTAAACGTGAGTATAAATTAATTCATTTTGATACTGAAATTGAATTTCTTATTAATTATAAATGGTAAACATTTATACCATATGTGTATTTGAAATTTTTGCATTTGTTAACGCAAATACCTCTTAAAAATATTTGTCATTGTTGAAAATTTCATTCTTTATGCCTGTTGATAAAAGTTAGTCTTGATTGTGTGCGTTTTTTATTGCTTCTCAATTAAAATAATAATTTAATTAAGCTGGACATCAGAACTAAATCAATTTAATTCCTTAAATTTATGGAAGTAATGTGTCGGTAATCACGTTTTTTTCTTAGAATTCTGGTTGATTAAGAAATCTGAATTATTAGGGTACAAAATAATTCACAATAGTGTTATCCGTTAATTTTAATTTGGGGTTTTTGATTAAATATTGCATAAATGCAGATTTCAATTAATTTACGCTTTTTACATTTGTATTTTTATTTTTTTTGATAATTTTCTCCTATACTATCTGATTTGAGAATTTTGTTAGCCTTTGATTTTAAATTGCACGTGCTAATTTTATTGAAAAAATATGTAATATATCCGTGTTGCTATTCAAAAAACAATAAAGATGGCATTGCAATTTTATAAATTTCCAACTTCACTTTATGTGCAAGTAATAATTGATCTTTTTCTGAAAATGATTGAAAAATATAATGTATAATAATAAATGCAACGCCGACTTTTTAAAGTTTTTATCTTCACTGGTGCCATCTATTGACAAAACCTTTCAAAATCATACAAAGGTATATTATTTAAGATCCCGGATGTAAAATGACGTCATAATCTTCTCGCGACTGCGTTGTTGGTTGCTTTTTCATTCTGAAACTTTCAAGATGGCTGACGCGATGCAAGCCTCCTGTGCGGCTCCTGTTTTCAAACGTCCAAGACTAGATTATTCACCTTGTGAAAGTGATACTTTAATATCATTCGAATCTGTATCATCTGAGGAAAGGTTTAGTGTTGATTCTGGGCTTCAAGAAGACTCCTATGGTAAGTTGTTTCGATGTTTTTAATGGCGGTTTCTGTTCATTCCATTTCTGCCATTTCATGGGGATCAAGGTCCTTCTTCAAACCAGAATCATATCTGGGTTCGCAGCTAAATCTTGCTCCCATCCACCTTAGGCCTACTTCCCTGTGTTTAACAAAGGAATTCGTTTCTCTTTTCGCATCTAGCAGATCAGGCGACGTCAATGGTTCGGTGTGTTCGAGGTTTGTTGATGTTTCGTTCACACGAGGTCGGGAGAGAACATTGATCCTTGATTTTTAAAATGATGAGGTTCGAATTTAATTTCAAAGGCGATATTGGATTTTAGATATTTAAATTTTGACAAAATTTGCTGTTAAACGTTTGATATTTTTAATTTAATAAATTATGAACTTGAAAATCCTTGTTTGTTTACATTTGAGGTGAACTGTCATTTGTCAAACGAGCTTACCGCAAGCCATCTCTTTTCGCTTTTCTTTGGTTTTGATAAGTTTTATTTCAGTCGAATAATATTTACTGTATTGGAAACGATTTTGTAATTTTTATTCAAAATATAAATTTTTTATATTTTTTGAAACTCGTTATTTTACAGTTTATTTTGAGTTTGCCATTACGTTCACACATTTCACGAGCATATTGATTAAGCTCTCGTTTTACGTTGCTATTTTATGCATACTTTTCGTTTGAATATTTCAGTTACAAGCATTCATTTTATTGTTTCTCAGAATTGGTGAAATTGATCAGCTGAAACAGGATTACTCTTATAAACAATTCTGTATATCTTTTATTTAGATTTAAACTAAATTTTTTAGTCAGATTCCTTTTAAATATATGTTTATGTTAGTCTTTGGTAAACATAAATGTTGAAGTGCTTACTCCTATATTTCCATTTTGGAAATGTTCGTAATTTAACAATCAAATCTTATGTATTAATATATAGCTTGTAATTTATATCCATAGTTATGCATTTTGTATGTGTGGAGTGCATTTTGTTGAAATACTCTGCATAAATTTTGTGTTACAAATATTGACTGAGATAGGATTTCATACTTTTATAGGAAATAAATTTGTAAGACTTCCTAATTGTATATTTTAAAAGCTGAGGAGGTATATAGACAAACTTAAAAGAAATGTTTTTAAATTTTCAGTTAAAACTCTCAGAGCTCTATACTATTTTTTCAAATTATGGTCTTCATTATTGAAGTAGTTCTAAAATAAACTATATACTCTTTCCTGGATCAGATTGTGTCATTCTAAACTTATATGTTATATCATGATAAAGTAAATCTGTTATGGGGTAAGTTTTTATTTCACTACCACAGTAAAGGTTTAAAAATGACTACCACAATAAAAACTTATCAAATTAACAGTTTGTTTTGATGGAACTAAATAAGCAAATAGTTTCTATTTCTTAGGGTTTATATTATCAAAAGCTCTTTTAAAAACTTTTTGTTTTGATGGAATTAAATAATTGCTTGTTATTTATGGTGAAGGTTAATGAGTTTGGCAAAATAGTTTGTTATGTGTATGACTTTTAGTTATTAAAATGTTCTTTGTACCATTGTTACTTTACTTTTTAATGAAATGTTCTTAGTCTGCTTATTTTCATAAAAGAAATATTTGTACCCTGTGATAGAATTTTTTCAAGCTTTCTGTGACAAACTTCTCTTCTCTAGCACTAATATCTTTCTGCAAGGTACTTTCAATAATAACAAATATATATGTTACTGATTTAAAGTGGCAAAAACGTTGTGTTTACTAAAAAAAAACTCTATTTTGATAAAATAAATAGCAATTAAAATTTTTTTAATAGATTCTGCAATATTTGTTTTATTTTAACACTATGGATGATCTTCTATGTAGGAGAAAAATGCACCGATTATTTCATATTTCACATTTTGTAAAACATCATAACATAGAAGAAGAAAAAACAAATTAAAAATTGAGAAATCTGTTGCAGTATCTACCGAAAAAAGATCGGCGGCGAAATCACACGAATCGGATTCTTTGACAAGGGGTTACTCAAATGCTCGTTTTGTTTCGAGATTTGGTTTTTGTAATAAGCATCATATTGAGAATATCGGAGCATCATATTGGAAGCATCATATCCAGGAAAAACCACGGGAAAATCAATATGAATAACTTTTAAATATAACTGTAACACTATGGATTCACAAAACCAAAATTTTATTACTTCCCAAAAGCAATATCAAATTCTTTCTGCAAGAGCTCTGTTACTTTCTGCGACAATGTCGCTGTGATCAGCTATTAATATGAAAGAGGATTAATTTATGGCTTTATTAATTTTAATATGATGTATCTCATGGTCAATTCTCTCCATGTTTCGAGTCTCTTACTATATTCTTTTTTATGCTTAATGCCAGTGTATTTATCTGTTGATTTTGAAGATTTCCTTGGATATTTTGTTAATATAATTTATTTGTATTAATTGTAGAGGTAACATCTTCTAGTGATTGCCATTTCGACCATCATGAAAGTGTTCCACCACTCAACCAAGGTTTAACAGCAGAAACTAATGGTGTTCATTCTTCATCGAGTGCTTGTATTTCTGAAACTGCAGCTTTCGAACATTGCATTCAAAATGGTTTGTTTGTATTGTTTTTATATTACCGCATTTTTAAGTTAAATATAAATTCTTGAACCATGACTGTGCATTGATGTGATTACCTGTGTTCTAGTAAGCCCTAAACTAAGATATAAACAAGTATTTCGGAAAAGGATACTCCTTTGTTATTTGCATGTAAGACTCACTAAGTTCATTTTTACTTTTATGATATTTATGCATTTTGTTTGTGTAACTGTGGATTGCAAAAATATAAGTATTTCTGAATAAAATAAAAATTCAAATCAGTATGTTGGGTGAATATTTAAATCTGACTTTGACTCTGGTCAGCCAAAGAAGAGGGAATTTTTTTTTTATTTACAAACTACATGTGTTCAATTGGATTTGATAGTAGTGAGGTCATAGTGCTAGTATATTTAATCTTTAAAATGTGTATAGAGATTCTTTAAAATGTGTATAGAGATACTAAAAATATAGATTTATTTTACAAAACTTTTTATCATTGCTAATGGTACGTCTGTAAATGTGAGTTTTGATAGTACTGATAAATTGATTTATGTTCAACCTTTCGTTTTTTAATCTATTGCAAGGTACTGCTATTTGTTTTTTGAACTGATTTAATAGCGTCTGAAAATATTACGTAATTGATTACCGATTAAATATAAATATTGATTTAATGACTTTTGAATTAACTTTCTCCAATGATATACTTATTTATTTGGATGTCTATTTTTTTTAAATCTTACAAAAGGATAAGGTTTCCTTTGTGCTGTGTAGATTAAAACAAGCAAATGTATTAAGTACGAAGTAATATACTCTCATTTGTGCTTTAATCGTGTTCCCCCCCCCCCGCTTCAACTTAAGGACTCGTTCAAAATGTTTGCTGGTTTTGTTTGTAGGTTTTCTGAATGACCCTTGTTGACCCCCTCTGAATGACCCATCCTTGACCCTTGTTCATTTCGAAATATTTGGTTATTGGAAGAATAATTATTTACTATATCCTTAAAGTTAAAAAATGTCAAAGTCAAAAGATTAGTAAAATCGGAATTAAATATTTAAAAATAGTTTTTGAAAAGTAACTTCTGAAACTTAAAACAACAGCCGTTGTTACATTAGGTGAAGGTTATTTCAAAACTTTTGGGTATGTAGGCAGGAATAATAGTCCCCCTTGCACAAATGTCTTTTTTTTCTTATTGTAAGTGGTTAACAGTAATTTATTTTCTCTCTTACAGATTTCATGACGGATAACAGTAATGACCACGAAGTTTTAAATGGGATGGCTGCTGCTTCCAACTCAGAAATATCACTGGATGAAAATGAAATTGAAGATCAAGATTCTTCTATTAGTGAGTTATCTGGCTTAAGTGATTTATCAAATTTTAGCGAAGACTGGAATGCATCTTCGGGTAATTTTCCAAATTTTAAAACTGAATACCTATCAATAGGATGTATGGTGTATGTAGTGAAAGCATTTTTTAGTCTTCCAAATGGAAAATATGCTGAAATGAATTCTATATATAATATAGTGAATAAATAAGTTTTTGACTGACTATGCATTGCACTGATTTAGTCTTATACATATTTACTTAATTTTGATATGTTACGCAAGATATGTATCTAGAGTGAAAACTCAACTAAGCAGACACTCTTGGACCGAAAAAGTTTGTTTATGGGAAGGATACACTTATAACAAACGCTTACACCATATTTTGTTTTCATAATTCCAATAATAATTAATCTATAATAACTTTTTACGTTAATATTTATATACACATAATTAAAAAAAAGTACACTATAAGAATATATACATACATGTGATTTTTATATTCATATATACAAGCCTTTGTTTTGTATTTATCCAAATGAAAGGAAAGATGTGCCGTATGGCGCGAGAAATTTGTTCAAAAATGAGGATCTTTTGTAAATTTTGTTTGAAGTCCATGCTTTTAGAAAATAATTTCAGGCATAGCTAGAGAGAATGTGAAATGTTTTTCTATTTCCACACGGTAATATGATACCAAACATATGCTTTTGGTCTTACTTGAATTTCAGTCAATAGGTTTACACTTACAAACATCTCCANCAAAAATAAGGATCTTTTGTAAATTTTGTTTAAAGTCCATGCTTTTAGAAAATAATTTTAGGCATAGCTAGAGAGAATGTGAAATGTTTTTCTATTTCCACACGGTAATATGATACCAAACATTGACTTACTTTTGGTCTTACTTGAATTTCAGTCAATAGGTTTATACTTACAAACATCTCTCTATCTCTTAATATGAAACATAGCAATATCTCCATTAATGTAAACCTCCCATAGTAGAAAAAAAATGTGGCAATAGGCGCCAGGCCCTATGTAGTTTTCGCAATCGATCATTTGTCAAGAGTCAGAAAAAATCTCTGATTTATTTATATGAACACTTTGCTGTGTAAAATTTAAGGTCAAGTTGGTTAGAAGAAAGCAATAAATTTTTAAATTATAAAATGAGGTTTGAAATTTGGATAAACTTTAAACATGAATACTTCATTTTTTTATTTATATTTACTAGAAAATTCTTACGTAGTTTAAAGAACTTCTTTGTATTGTTCTTTTGTTTGATGCATTGAATGTCAAACTTTAATGTTGTAAACTTTACAGTTATTTATGAAAATTATTTTTTGAAAAAATCGACATCGGAAATTATGGCATTAATTTGGTTGCATTTTCAGCAGGAATTATATTTCATTTTTAATGTACCCAAACTTTTTAGAGTTTAACCAGTCTTTTTAAATTTGGTTAAAACCATATTTTGTACATATAATACGTGACCATAATGCGAAACTGATAATGTTGAAACAAAATTAAGTTCAGGTAAATACTGATCCTAAATCCTCAGGAGCTTCTTGATCCTTATTCCTTTTTTTTTTTTGTATTTTTTTTTTGTTATACTTAGTTTACAGTGTCATTTGATCAGTTAACTTAATTTGCATAATTTGTTTGCATTTAGTGCAAAACAGCAGCTCTGAAAGAGATATAAATTATATTCAACGCTATTCAGTGAACCATTTTTATAAAGAGCATTATTGAAGTGTTTCATTTTTCCAATGTAACATGTTTAGAAATTTTTCCAANCTTAATATGAAACATAGCAATATCTCCATTAATGTAAACCTCCCATAGTAGAAAAAAAATGTGGCAATAGGCGCCAGGCCCTATGTAGTTTTCGCAATCGATCATTTGTCAAGAGTCAGAAAAAATCTCTGATTTATATGAACACTTTGATAATTAGATTATTGTTCTCCTCCCCCCTTTACCCTATTTTTTTTAAACTTTGCTGTGTAAAGTTTAAGGTCAAGTTGGTTAGAAGAGAGCAATAAATTTTTAAATTATAAAATGTGGTTTGAAATTTGGATAAACTTTAAACATGAATACTTGATTTTTTTATTTATATATACTAGAAAATTCTTATGTAGTTTAAAGAACTTCTTTGTATTGTTCTTTTGTTTGGTGCATTGAATGTCAAACTTTAATGTTGTAAACTTTACAGTTATTTATAAAAATTATTTTTTGAAAAAATCGACATCTGAAATTATGGAATTTGGTTGCACTTTCAGCAGGAATTATATTTCATTTTTAATGTACCCAAACTTTTTGGAGTTTAACCAGTCTTTTTAAATTTGGTTAAAACCATATTTTGTATGGTTGGTAAATTTTGAATATTTATTCTTAAGAAGATTCACACTTTATATAATGCTCCAAATCTTGATCCACAAGACCTATATACATGACCATAATGTGAAACTGATAATTTTAAAACGAAATTAAGTTCAGGTAAATACTGATCCTAAATCCTTAGGAGCTTCTTGATCCTTATTCCTTTTTTTTTTTTGTATTTTTTTGTTATACTTAGTTTATAGTGTCATTTGATCAGTTAACTTAATTTGCATAATTGGTTTACATTTTGTGCAAAACAGCAGCTCTTGAAGAGATATAAATTATATTCAACGCTCTTCAGTGAAGCATTTTTATAAAGAGCATTATTGAAGTGTTACATTTTTCCAATGTAACATGTTGAGAAATTTTTCCAATGTATTGAAATTTTTTTTTAGGTTCAATGAATTGGGTTCAGCGGCAAATGGTTAGTGGTATGGATCCTAGATTGATACTAAATGAATTGCTCCCAAAAGGTACATTCGTTCCACAAAATGTAAATGATGGTCTTCTGTGGAGATTTATTGTCAATATGCTAAACGAACCCAAACGTTCCAAGCTGACTAATGTTAACACATTAGATGACGCTGTTCAACTTTTGAAAACATGCAGAAATGTAATTGTTTTAACTGGTGCTGGGGTAGGTATTTATTTTGCATTATTTTTATAGCTTCAATATCTTGTTGTAATCGCAATGTTTTATTGTATCTTTTTCTCCACTTGGGCAGAATTGTCACATTTTGTAGTTGATTAAATATTGTATTATAAACATCCTGAGCACTGCAAAATTTGTGCTTTATTAACTGATGTAATTACAATAAATTTGCCTAAGATAAAAGCATTAAAGAAACAGGGACATTAGAATTTATCATTAATGTTGGACATAAGATTTTACCATTTAGAATTTTTATTTATTTCTCTTGGTGACAGCAAAACCATTTACTATTAACTCTCACTGATATCCATTTGTCCTTCTTAAGAACAGGGTGCGTAGCGTTTGTAAAAAGTACTTAAAGGTGCTTTTTTGGGGATTTCGTTTTTAAGCTTTTAAAGGTGCTTTTTTCAGCTGGTGTTTTTAAAAAGTGCTTTTTTTCCACAAATTTTTTTTTCTTCAGTGATATCTGGTGAATCCCATGCATTTCACGAAAAATGGGGTGTTTGCTACGCAGGGTTGGGTTTTTGACGTCAAAAAGTGGTTTTTGACATGACAAGGGTATAATACTGGTTTAAACCGTCAAAAACTAAAGTTTGCCAAAAATATATAAACTTCAAAATTACCAACAGTTGCCATGCATTATATTGAAATTTAATTATACTATAGGTAATCAGCAGGTTTTAAAATATTTTTTAATTAAAATTAAGGTAAAATAACAGATTTAAAATCTCAGAAATTTATATTGAAATGCATGTGCAGAAAAATTTTGCACAAATTTTTTTTAAAAATTTTTTTTTTTGATACTTAAGAAAATTAAAAGTTTATTACTATGCATTTTTGACATATAAGGAANAATATTTAAATAGATTTTTTGAGGATAAGGAAGATTTAATACATAATAATATAAATTTTCTAGAATTATTCATTTTTTTCTAGGTGTCTGTGTCTTGTGGCATCCCAGATTTTCGTTCTAAAAATGGTGTATATGCACGCTTAAGTAAAGATTATCCAGATCTACCAGATCCTCAAGCTATGTTTGATATTAATTATTTTCGACGAGATCCTAGGCCTTTTTTCAAATTTGCTAAGGTAATAAACACATATAATTTCAATATTTAATCAATAGTTTTCTTATTGATTAATAAATTATATTTCTTTATAAGGTAACAATGTTATGTCTATAAGATAACTATGATACTTTTATGTTATTGATATTAGTATAGAATAATCAACTGTATGCAGTGTATTGTCTAAGTTTAATGGTGGTTCTCATAATGTCACATGCCCTTTTCTTGCTAACTGTGTAAGTCTTCTCGACATTTTTAAAATAAAAAACTTGTTTTCAGAATTCGCAGTTTTGAAGAGAAAGACATATTTCAAAATTTAATATCTCAAAACTGCTAGTGGCTATTTCGGGATTAACCTCAAATTCTATTCTCAATCATTTTTTTTTTTGTATAAGGAATTTATTAATAAGGAAATAAAAAGATACATTTTTCAGATTTGTTTGGCAAATTAACATTTAAATCAATATTCTAAAAGTCTTATTTTGTTATTTTTCTTTCTCCCACCAATTGAATTGCAAAGGCTTAAAATTGTCAATTGCGAACGATAAGTTTTGTACCATTTGTTCACATAATACTTAATAAATGGCTCATTTCTATTAATTTTGTAATTACCAAATTATTAGAAATGAGGAGAAATTTTTTTTTCTCATTTCTATTAAATTAACTTCTTTTTTATATATGTCTTCCAAAATTATCTTGGAGAAAGAAAAATGGAAATTTGAAATTACTTTTTTAATAAATGTATAAAAGAATATTATATGTATTTTTTAAAAATGAACTCTCAGCATATTTTGTCAGTTTACGTTGTGTTACGTTTTATTTTGACCTAACTTCAAATGTTAAGGCAATAAACTGGATAGTATCTTTGTTCACAGATTGTTTTGAAATTGATAGTTTGTCTTTAGAAATGGTTATTATTTTAAGGGCTTTTATTAGACCTGTGAATGCTGTGTGTTAGTACTGTTGCAAAAGTTGAAATGGAAAAACTTTTTTTTTTGTAAAAAAAATAATTTCTTCCCTTCAATTAAAGTAACTAAAATTTTTAAAAGGCTACTAAAACTTAAATTTTTTTGCTGGAAGGAAGGCATTAAGATATGAAAATCATTAACATAAACTATGGAAAAGGCTGTTTAAGGTTGTTGTGTGTGTTCTTAAATGGAGTGAGTAGGGAAAAAAAGGATCAAAATTTATTTTAAGATAAAATCGAAATAAAAAGGAAGCACGATATTACAGGTTAGGAAGTTCATTACTGGTTATAAAATAAGTGTTTTGCAAGAAACTGTAATTATTAATCTAGAATTATTTGACACCCTCTTCTAAGTGATTAATATTTACAGGCTTCCTAGGGTACTTAAAAGTCCTTACAGGGGTCGCATTCCCCCTAAAATTCATAAAATTCCTAAAAGTATGTGCAAACCCTAAAAAATTAGAGTTATAGGTTAAATATAAATAAAAAAGCAATAATCTAAAATATAAGAATTTAACTACATTAATTACAACTGCTTTAATTTTGCCACATGGGAAGGGAATTCTGATCCTGAGAGAGGTTTTTCGATAAATAAAGCAATGCTTAATGTGAGTCACCATGAGAATACTATTATGTCTCTTAGACTAATCAAAGATACCATTCGAAATTATGAAGGAGTGTTGAAGATCACCACAACACTATTGAGGGCAGTAAAAGAATCTCACAAATTATATATCAAGAATATTTTAGAAAAATGATCATGATTAATTTGTTTTTCTCTAACTTCTAATATAAATTGCTGATTTGAGATCTAATAATATCACACAATAGTTTTTCTTAGTAAAGTAAGGTAAAGGGTAATAATAAAGTTTTGATTAAGAAGGTAAAAATTAAATAAAAANCCGGAATAACTGCCATATCGGTGTTACATTCTTTCAACAATTTTTTTGTATTATCTGTAAGGTGGGACCTAAACATATCCCACACTAAAAGGCTTTCTGGTTTTCTATTGATACTAGACGAGATATTGCACATGTACAATCCAAATTTTCGTGCGCCTTATACGAAGAGTATATCTTAAAATTTAAAAAAAGTTAGTAGAAATTACGAGTGCTCGTTATACGCCGGGGCGCGTTATGCGCCGGGGCGCGTTATGCGCCGGAATATACGGTATGTATTTTTTAAAAATGGACTCTCAGTATATTTTGTCAGTTTACATTGTGTTACGTTTTATTTTGACCTAACTTCAAATGTTAAGGCAATAAGCTGGATAGTATCTTTGTTCAGATTGTTTTGAAATTGATAGTTTGACTTTAGAAATGGTTATTAGTTTAAGGGCTTTTATTAGATCTATGAATGCTGTGTGTTAGTACTGTTGCTAAAGTTGAAATGGAAAAACTTTTGCAAAACTTTTTTTTTGTAAAAAAAAATTTCTTCCCTTCAATTAAAGTAACTAAAATTTTTAAAAGGCTACTAAAACTTAAATTTTTTTGCTGGAAGGAAGGCATTAAGATATGAAAATCATTAACATAAACTATGGAAAAGGCTGTTTAAGGTTGTGTGGATTCTTAAATGGAGTGAGTACGAAAAAAAAGGATCAAAATTTATTTTAAGATAAAATCGAAATAAAAAAGAAACACGATATTACAGGTTAGGAAGTTCATTACTGGTTATAAAATAAATGTTTTGCAAGAAACTGTAATAATCTGGAATTATTTGACACCCTCTTCTAAGTGATTAATATTTACAGGCTTCCTAAGGTCCTTAAAAGTCCTTAAAAACTGCTTAATTTTTGTTTTGGAAAATAAGGACCCTTAAAAGTACTTAATTTTAATTCAAGGTTTTTAAAAGTCCTTAATTTTTTAGCATCACTATGGTTGATAGAAACAATTTTTTAAAGCAAAATGGAGTTCTTTTATCACTTAGAATTAGACCATGCATCGAGGGTAAAGCATTTTAGAGACAAAAATTCATGTGTGTAAATGGGGGGGGGGACTACAGGCAAGGAGAAGAAAACATACCCTTTCATTTATATATTGGTTCTTTCATTAATATATTCTGCTCTTTGCCTAGAATGATACTTTATGAGGTGAAGCATTCTAAAAGAAAAGAATAGTGTGGTCAAGGGGAATACTGCACATGGAAGAGAATAGAACTTTTTTTTTTTTTAACGGGGCAGTTTTTTAAGGTACCTAATTAGAAGACCCGCATTAACTTTCAAAATTAACAGAATTCGAGAAATTAAGTTCTACTGGTAATGCATCTGCTTATAGGGATTAAGTAAAATGCTAAGAAAAGAAGTAACAGAGACAAAAAGATTGAACTAGAATCTGTAACAGTAACTATTTCCTAAAATCTCTAATTGAATAAATTTATATGATATTTCAATGTGTATTAAGTAGCTGTAAATTTACAGAAAGCATAACATTTTTTAAAATTCATGGTTTTACTAAAAATTAACCAGATTTGTAAGAAACAGGGTTTGAAAAATTCAAGAACTTTTTCAAGAACCTGGGGTTTATTGGTAAAAACCAAGTATTTTTTCAAAAATACTAAATTTTTTTTCCTGGGTGCTAAATAAGAAAGCATGATTTGCTTTTAACAAGAAAGTTAATTGTTTGGTAACTATTTATAATTTGATTTGTTGCAATGTAAATTTTTTTTTTTTTGAAGTTTAAGATAGTTACATTATTATTTTTATTTCTTAATGATAAGCAGATTTGCCTGGTAATTCTTTGGCGAGCCTGTTGATTAATGCAATTATATCAGTGCTTACATTATAATAAAATTGTTTTTGTTCTTCTTTATTTATTGATTTTTTGGAAGGTAAATAATTTGCACCGTCACTGGTGGCATATGTATATTCAATGATAAACAATCACATTATTTTTTAAAATCCTTAATTTTTCAAAAAAAAAAGTCCTTAATTTCTTCAAAAAAAGTTCTTAAAAGTGCTTAATATTTGCTCTGTTAGGTATGCAGTCATAATTACCATTTAGCTCATAACTGAACAAGTTACATTTATTTTTGCCACCTATTAAATTAAAGTGATTATCTTTATTTTTAGGAAATCTATCCTGGACAGTTTGAACCATCTCCTAGTCATAGATTTATTAAAGTTCTTGAAAAGCAAAACAAATTACTTAGAAATTATACTCAAAATATAGATACTTTAGAACATGCAGCAGGAATACAGAATGTTATTACTTGTCATGGTATGTATGAATTAATGCAAAATCTCAATTAAGAGGCATAAGTTTTTTGAATGTTAATTATTTAAAATTTTCAGTATAAATTTAGAATAGAATTTGATCAATGAATGTGCATTAATTGTTAAATTACCTGGAATGTTTTGTGACCTCCATAGGTTTTTTTAAACTAACATTTTAAGTGTTGCATATACCTTTTATACTTTATTTGAAGAAAAAAAAAATGCATAAATATCAAATGATCCTAATTACGATCATGGGGGCCACTCTTCAGTCTTGAGAAGAAATCAGTACATTAAGTTTCATGATTTAATAAAATTTTTGTTTTTCCTTAAAAATGTAACAAATATTTTCTGTTAAATAAAAATTATGTTTTAATGTTAAAATTGTTAAATATCATAATTATTACAAAATGATCAAGTAATGATGTAGCTCAGTAATGAAAATGAGATAGAACTTCAATGCCTGCTTGCTTAAACACAATTTGTACAAGTGTTGTATCTAAATTGTTTTTTTTAAATTATTATATCCCCAAGGTTTTTATCCCCAAGTGCTTTCCAAAGGTAAATTGAGATTATTCTTTTTTTACAAAAAAATAGAGATAGGACAAAAAATATATAATGAAGTGAAAAATAAAAAATAAGTAGAGATATGTATCGAAAAGAATGTAAAGATTGGGGATTATTCAGTAATTGATGTAATGAAATATTCAAGCTTAGCTGTTAATTTTATCTTGTTTGCTGTAAAAAATAAATTCATAGAATGAAGAAAAAATAACGATAATTGATTTAATATATGAGTCCTTATCATAGACAGATACGTTTTGAAGTTTGTGAGCTATAGATTTCTGAAAATTCATATAAACAACACTAGATTGTGTTAATTGATCAAAAAGGTAAGTTAGTCATAAAATATTTTAGGTGACTCCCATGTTCTAATAGAATCTTAAATAATGTCAATCATGTATGCAAGACCTAATTTATCTAAAATGCATAGTCAGATAAAATTGAAAAAAGAATTGCTAACTGATAATTTAGTTTTCTATTAATAAAATTGTCCTGTGCTGTATTTTAATGACAATTATATAAATTTTTTCCAATATCAAAATGTCCCGTGGAATTAAGTTTCTTCAATCAATACTAAAACATTTCATCATTTCAAGATTCAAATTCAAATTGTTCATTATAAATTACGTTTTTTTTTTTTAAAATTTACTAACTGTTTTTGCTTGGAATTTTTTTTATTTATTCCCCACTTGGAATTGAGAGAACACTGACAGTAAATCTAACAAAATTTTGTTGCTTTCGGAATTTCTAAAAGCTCTTAATTTAAATATTTAAACTTTTTAGGTTCATTTGCTACAGCAACTTGTACTGTATGTAGTTATAAAGTAGATTCATCTGTTATTAAAGAAGATATTTTTAATCAGGTAAGGTTAACTTTTGTTTTTGGCTATATCTTTTGTCTTAATGGCCAAGTACCTTTTGATTTTTCACTGTACACATTTGATGTTAAATATTCTTAAGTGATATTGATTTACTTTTTTTTGCTTCCTTGCTGTAAATTTAGTGACTGTTCACAGGCTCGCCTGCATTTGATTTTATGAAGAATTTTTGAGCTTTGTGCAAGTGCTATGTAAGGAAAAGTTTTCGAGTATTTGAGAGAGAACGTTTCAGATACTTGGGAAAGCTTCCTTTCTTCAAAATAAATAAATTAAACTTGAAAATGCAATTATGAGTATGAAGTATTCAAAAGTGTCAACTCTTTCTATTTTATGGAAATTCTTAACTTTTTTTGTAATTTGAAAAGTTAAATCATGAATTTAGGTCGCCAAAAAATCTAATTATTAAACTGGAAGTTACCCCTCCTCGAATTTCTTGGTATTCCGAATATCTGAATTTGTAACAAACTCCCCACTCACAGTCATATTTTATTAAAATATAAAATGTTTTAATCATGTTCTTTAAAAATTGTGTTCTTTCAAAAAATGAGAGAGAAAAAAGAAAAACACGTCATTTTTACAGCAAATTATCTTCTAAATTTCTGTGATTTCAGAATTTTTATTATTTATTTTTTTTATTTTATAAATTTAAAATTCTAGCTGAAGCTAGCCAGTGATTGGCGAATTATTTTTATTCCGAAATGAGAACAGAAAAATCCGAAGCATTTCTTTCCTTTCCCTTGTACAAGAAAAGTATCTTAAGAATATAATTCTGCGGAAAAAAGAGAAAAAAATTACTTTTGAGCTATTTTATTGCTTCAAATCTTTATTTTCTCTGTTTTTTAAATTAAAAATCTATAAATATGAAGATGTAGAGCAGTGATGGACAAACTACGGCCCGCGAGCCAAGTCCGGCCCGCGGAAAGGTTTAATCCGGCCCGTTTAAGAGTGCCGTCGTGAGAATGTTTGAACGCGTTCTTACTTCGTAATGTGACGACCCGCATAAAAACTACCTGCGGCGATATTCAAAACACAATAGTATTCTGGACAAATCCATCCGACCTAAACAGATGACTCATCTTCGCTCGAAACTTCCAGACACTCTCGCATTTTCGATTCATTGTTCTGTTTTCTCGAAAGAACCGGAAAAATCCAATTCCCGAACAATCCTTGCATTTCATTTTTCTCATGCACCATCAACCAGTAATGACACCAGAAAATAAAGTGATAATACTTCACATCAAGAGCTACACTAAATTCATTTTATATTTTGTGCTTATAATTTTCTTACCTTTTACTTTTTTACTATTAAAATAATAAGTGTATGTAATAATATATGTATATGTTTATAGAACACATAAATTTTTTAACGATTAAGCATTATTCTTTGGCCCGCTGCGATTGTCTAGTTATTACAAATGGCCCGTCTTAAAAAAAGTTTCCCCACCACTGATGTAGAGTATAACAGTTTTGGTTACACCTATAATTTCAATTAATGTTATTATGATGCTTTTTTAAATTTACTATTGTGTTTTTCTCGGAAAAAATAGTAACTTCGTAAAGTCACGAAAAATCCTTGGAATTAGTCATGAATTTGAAAATCTAAAATGCAGCAGATACCCTGTACAAAATTGACAAATTTGATGCTGAGTTTTAAATTTCTTTTCTTTTAATGTCTTAGATTTAAAATTTTTCAAATATTTTGGTGATTTAATAAGTTTTAGCTAACAAAATTGCACCAGTGCTAGGAGTATATTAAGTTGGTGCTCCTAATACATCACGTATAAGAAATTTTATGCTGTCAGATATTTCAGAGTGAGAATCTGGAAAGTAGTAAAAATTAAAATGCAGTTGTTTTACTATGTGTATATAGAGCATGGAATAAATATTGGTATAAGTTTAAAGGTTAAAATGGGTGCACCTGTAGAACACGGAAGAGATGACATTCTACACAAATCCTTAAAAGTGAAGTGATTAAGTGAATAACAAGGAAAAACATGTTGGAAATAGATTTTTTTTAAAAAAAAGCAGTTTTACAAAAAAAAAAAATTATTTCCTATTTTTAAACTAATTTTTAAGCTAACTACTTGGTTTTAATACTTTTATAAGTGTTCAATCTAAATAAGTGGTTCCATAATAAGCAGGGTGCGTACAAAAAAGTCTCCAAGGAGTACTTGGAACTACTTAGATTTACAAATTAGTCCTTGGAAACTCTTTAGATTATTGTGTTGCATAGATGAACTTACTAAGTCCGCTGATGAATTTGTTGTTCAAATAGGGGAACTAAATGATGCGCCTTACCTGTCAAAATCTAATAGTTTAAGAAAAACTTAAAAGAAAAAAAATTTAATTGCAAGCAAGAGTTAGAAGAAAAAAGCAATTAATTTTACATGTTACAAGCAAATTTAATTAATAATTTACTGTTTTTTTTATTGAAATATATTAGATTTTCTTATGTATTCAAGTTAAAAAATATAAGAATGGTAGGCTTTTATGTTAATCTTTAACAAGATTTATTAAAATATTTGAAACTGGAAAATGTATTTATGTGTAAGTGATAACTTTGTCAAACTTCATCAAGAAAAATAAAGTCAAAATTTATTTCAAAAGGGCTAGAAAAAATGTGCAAAATGTACATTTTTGCATTTCCCTATAATAACTGCTATTTAATTTTTAAAAAAAAGCTGTCTAGTTATCATAAAACAAAGTTTTTAAATTTTTGATAAGTCCTTAAAATTTTGGACTCCTTGGATTTCTTCTAATCTCTGTATGAACCCTGATAATAAGCAAAAAAAGTTATCTATGGGGATTTTTTCTATTGACAACAATGCAATTTAAACTTTCAGTATAAATAAAATTTGGATTAATTTTTTTTATTCCTTTTTATTAGAACAGTTATCGTTACCATTACCAAAAAGTTTTTATGTTTTTTCAACTTTAAAAAACTCAGTTTTAAAAAGAATATTATAAGATGTTTAAATGTTGAGATGTGAATTATGTTAAAATTTTGACTAAAACAAGTTTTATTAAATAAAAAAAGAGAATGTTGAAATATTTTTGCATTTTTTCCCTGTTAAACCTCCATAAATGATATGCATTTAATTAACTGAAAAATTAAATTAATAATTTTTTCCTTCCTTGAAGAATTTATTTTCAGTTTTTTCAAAAACTTGGTATAAAGGGATAGAATGAAATATTATATTGATAATAATGTTTAGCATAATTGATGAAATATTTAAAGCCTTGTTTAGATTTTTTTTTTGCAGACTACTTTTTTCCATAAGTATAGAAGTTTCCAAATCCTATTTAAACTTAATATATGAAAATATTGAAACATTAAGCTGTCATATATTTTATAAAACTTAGAGAACCATGCTAATTTGAAGCTCTATTTTTTTAACCCTTTAGTTCTATAAAAACTAAATTTAAATTAATTTTAAAACTAATATTCACTCAATTTTATGTATTCAGAATATATTATATACATTCAGAAAGATATTGCTACATCACAATCAAATATAAGTTAAATAAGGAATGTGTTATTCATATGCAGGAGCAGTTTTGTATGAGAAACTTTCTAAAATGGATTGCATAGAACCTGAATAAAAGTTTACATTTCAAAAATATGTTTCTTGCTAAACTTTTCCTAGTTTGGATGTCACTTTAGAAACCACAATTAGGAAGTGTGATGTCAAAAAGGATCACCACAGTTACTCTCAAATAAAGAAAAATAAAAAAATTTTATATTTATAAATTATTATATAATGTAATGATATAAATTATTAGGTATTTTATATCTAAGTGTTCATTTAACAAATAAAATAAAAAAAAATGACACAAAATAAATTACTAGCATTATTCATTTTAAGTTTCTGAAAGACTAACATTTTTTAAAATTTTTTCTTCCTTACATGGGCATATAAGAATTGGTAATTGCATGACAAATCTAAGGCTAGAATCTTATGTATTAGGATCTTGCTTGTGTGACTTTAAACAGGTGCAACAGAGAGTTCATAATAAGCGTCTCTAGTGGCATGCAATGACATTTCTGATCTTGCTTGGTTCTGGGCTGCTATGGAATGGTCTCTTTTACTTCTTAAATAACCAATGTTTCTGGGCACACTATAATAAACTCATTTTACCTATTCCAACTTATGTTTCTGAATATTTGTATTTTAAATTTTATTAAATTTGCATGTGCTATTAATAAAAGACAAGTTATTTTTTTATAATTTGATTTACCCGTATTTTAAAATTGTAAAAGCCGCATCTGTGTTTTAGGTGTACGACTTAACATCTATGACATACATCCTTTGTATTGTGTAAGTACAGTTGTAAAAGATATACCAAGAATAGAAATGTACAGTGTGCACAAAAAAAATAATAATAAATCTTACCACCTTCCATAACTTTTGATCTAATGATTGGATCTTCACTTTCCATCTTAATAGTTAGCGGGGGTGTCCTAACATATGCTAATTAATTAGTGCAGACTATAATTTAAGACCAGAGAGCTGTGGAGTTAAAATTTGGTTTGCTAGTAGAGGCCATATTTTTATTAACTTATTGTTTTATCCTTCTTGAATTTCTAATTTTGTTTTGAACTTAATGGAATTTAAGTTTATAAGGGATCTTTTTCTCTTTATGTTTTGTTACCTTTCATTTTGCGAACCAAATTCCAGGGTTAGAATGGTTGCATAAAGTTCACCTTACTGCTAACTGTAGTTCTTTCTCCCAAATTGTGCCGAATTGTTCCAAAACTCTACTATTTATTGATTATCAGTTTTTACAGTTTAGTGTATAGTGTTTTTTACAGTTACAGTTTTTTATGGTTTAACTGTTGCATTACTGTAAAACTATTTCTGTTTTGTTAAAGATTAACCTCAGATGTTCCTTACTGTTTTGTAATGTAATACTTAATGTTATTTCTTATATTTCAGAGGATTCCATATTGCCCTATTTGTCCAGCAGAAGCTGGTACCAGAGGTATTATGAAACCTGATATAGTTTTCTTTGGCGAAGGATTGTCTGATGAATTTCATGATGCTTTGGCTCACGATAAAGAAACTTGTGATCTTCTAATTGTCATGGGTTCTTCTTTGAAAGTACGGCCAGTTGCAATGATTCCTAGTAAGTAAATTTTATGCATTAAAATTTATTATCGTTTAATTTTGACACATTAATCAGAATTCGTAGTTCTGAGATAATCCCGATTTTTCTGTATAATTTGAACACATCAGGATTCATTGTTTATATCTCATATGGAATTCAGACATTTTATGGAAAAGATCTTAAACTATATCACATCATCCGATTTTAATGATGAGGATGGCATTTTTTATCTGATTCTAACCATGGTTTTAACCATGTCAAAAACCCTTTTTCACCAAAGATTCAATTTAGGTGCAAGGATAATTGTTAGCTATTATAAATTAAGTATTTATAAGCAGGGGAGATTGTGCTCTGGAAAAAATACAGATTTCCAGATTTTTTCCCTAACAGTGATCCGGAAGTTTCTGGAGATCGAAGGTCCAGAAGTTTCAAAAAATCATTGATCACAGAAGTTGCCGGAAATCAAATTTTCATAGGTGAAATTTAAAAACACTATTTTATTTGTTTGTAAGGGAGAGCCAGAGAGATACTTTATAAGCTTATATTCATGATTAATTTTCATTTTTTATCAGTAAATAGTTGTTATGATCATAAACTCATAAAAGAAAGACATATTTGTAAATTTTAATTTCTTCTCCAGGTAGGTATATGTAAATGGTATAGGTGTATGCAAAATTTTAAATATATTAAGTAAACTGAGAAATGTTGAGAGAAAGGGAAAAAAAAGACCTTTAAATTTTTTCTAATTTTTCAATGTAAACTGTTTCCCCCCCCCCCCCCCCNTTTTTAACCCAAGAAATTTTCTGGAATTTTGACTTGGGCTCACAATCACCCCTGTATAAGTAAACTTGCATATTAAATTGAAAATAATGAATTAATTTGTTCTTATTGAATTACTATTTTGATATTTCTCTGTTTTCTCCACTTCTGTGAAAAATCCAAATTTTTGGTGTAGAAAGTGTTAAATAATTGCAAATAAAAATGTTGAAAATAAAGATACAAAAACAATCAGCTTAATAATTTTAAAAAACACTCAACTAACATCTTATTCATAATATGTAAAATCAACTTTCATTTAATTCCTATTTTAGCCTCTCTTCTCCCTGAAACATACAATTACGAAATTTTTTTTAAAGCCTTTTATAGTCGTGGATTTGTGTGAAAATAAGTCTTAATTATATGTTGCACCTATTTAGAATTTTTGCAGTTAAATTTCTTGTAAAGTATGAAAATGAGTCTGAAAAAAAAAGCACTTTTTGACTTTTGGTGCCTAAATTTAAATGAGCAAGGAGAATGCTGCCTTAAATATTAGCATTTATTAATTTTATATCATTTAATATGCTTGATACTTTATAATTCAAGTGGAGAATAAAAAGGTTAACTAGTGTCATCATTAGAATGTGTTATGGGAGTTTTTCCCCTGCCTTAAATTGTCTTTGTTGTTTAAGAATGGTTAAAGTGCTCAAGTAGATTGGCATAATTTTTCAGTGTAATTTTCTATAAAATATANGAAGCTGGTACCAGAGGTATTATGAAACCTGATATAGTTTTCTTTGGCGAAGGATTGTCTGATGAATTTCATGATGCTTTGGCTCACGATAAAGAAACTTGTGATCTTCTAATTGTCATGGGTTCTTCTTTGAAAGTACGGCCAGTTGCAATGATTCCTAGTAAGTAAATTTTATACATTAAAAAGTTTCTTATTTATTATCGTTTAATTTTGACACATTAATCAGAATTCGTAGTTCTGAGATAATCCTGATTTTTCTGTATAATTTGAACACATCAGGATTCATTGTTTACATCTCATATGGAATTCAGACATTTTAGGGAAAAGATCTTAAACTATATCACATCATCCAATTTTAATGATGAGGATGGCATTTTTTTATCTGATTCTAACCATGGTTTTATCCATGTCAAAAACCCTTTTTCACCAAAGATTCAATTTTGGTGCAAGGATAATTGTTAGCTATTATAAATTAAGTATTTATAAGCAGGGGTGATAGTGCTCCGGAAAAACTACGGATTTCCAGATTTTTCGCTAACAGTGATCCGGAAGTTTCCGGAGATCGAAGGTCCAGAAGTTTCAAAAAATCATTGATCACCGAAGTTTCCGGCAATCAAATTTTCAAAGGTGAAACTTAAGAACACTATTTTATTTGTTTGTAAGGGAGAGCCAGAGATATACATTATAAGCTTATATTCATGATTAATTTTCATATTTTTTCAGTAAATAGTTGTTATAATCATAAACTCCAAAAAGAAAGATATATTTGTAAATTTTAATTTCTTCTCCAGGTAGGTATATGTAAATGGTATAGGTGTATGCGAAATTTTAAATATATTTTAAGTAAACTAAGAAATATTGAGAGAAAGGGAAAAAAAAAGACCTTGTTTAAATTTTTTCTAATTTTTCAATGTAAACTGTTTTTTTTTTTTCTTCCAAGAAATTTTCTGGAATTTTGACTTGGGCTCACTATCACCCCTGTATATGTAAACTTGCATATTAAATTGAAAATGATGAATTAATTTGTTCTTGAATTATTTTGATATTTCTCTTTTTGTTTTGTCAACTGCTGTGAAAAATCCAAATTTTTGGTCTAGAAAGTGTTAAATAATTGTAAATAAAAATGTTGGAAATAAAGATACAAAAACAATCAGCTTAATTTTAAACACTCAACTAACATCTTATTCAAAATATGTAAAATCAACTTTCATTTAATTCCTATTTTAGCTTCTCTTCTCCCTGAAACATACAATTGCGAATTTTTTTATAAAGCTTTTTATAGTCGTGGATTTGTGTGAAAATAAGTCTTAATTATATATTGCACCTATTTAGAATTTTTGCAGTTAAATTTCTTGTAAAGTATGAAAATGAGCCTGAAAAAAAAGCACTTTTTGACTGTTGGTGCCTAAATTTAAATGAGCAAAGAGAATGCTGCCTTAAATATTAACATTTATTAATTTTATATCATTTAATATGCTTGATACTTTATAATTCAAGTGGAGAATAAAAAGGTTAACTAGTGTCATAATTAGAATGTGTTATGGGATTTTTTCCCCTGCCTTAAATTGTCTTTGTTGTTTAAGAATGGTTAAAGTGCTTAAGTAGATTGGCATAATTTTTCAGTGTACTTTCCTATGAAAGATAATTGTGAATCTTGTGGAAGACTAGTACACTAAGAGAAATATAAGTAAATCCGACAACTTACTTCGAGGTCTGGAATAGCCCGATTGATTGGGAAGAACTGGTTCCGTGTCCAAGAGGTTGTGGATTCGATCCCCGCCAGTCGAAGGCTCCCCTTGTAGTAAATGGGGACAGATGCATGTTAAATCTGTCTGGTTGCAAATCTTCCGTATTCCTGTAACATAGAACTCTGGGGGTGCTGAACCAAGAGTTTCTTTATCTTCTGCATTGGTTCAAAATTAAAAGGCTACGAAGTTGAACATTAGCAGTCGTAAACCCAAAATTGGGTCGGCTGCTCAAAGACTGTTATATTTTTAAAAAAAAGCTGCAATGACTCAGGTGATAAAGCGTTCACCTCCCAATGAATTGAACCTGGTTCGAATCCCAGCGATGGCTAGTCATTACGAATTTCGCATCCGGTCAGTGGTCGACTGATCATGAGTTAGTCTGCCAGGCTAAACATGGCAGGTTCTGGTGATCTTCCTCTCCATGTAATGCAAATGCGGGTTAGTTCCATCAAGATTGGGTTCAAAATTACAAAGCTACGTAGTTAGACATAAGTAGTAAATCCATAAATTTGGTTTGCTGATATAAAATAAACGGTTATAAAATAAAATAAAAATCTATATTAGAATGTTGAAGAGTGACAAAAAGCTTTATTTTAATCTACCTCATTAAAATAATGTCGAATGAATTAGTGTCCTATTCCTATATCAGTTCTTAAGCTTTGTTGGAATGTTGCTTAGTATTCATCTAGTGAAACTTTTAATTCTTTGCTTTTTATGGTAAATTCTTAATTTTATTTTTATTCCTTAGGTTCTATACCAACTAATGTTCCACAGATTTTAATTAATAGAGAACCTTTAAAACAGCTAAATTTTGATATAGAATTACTTGGAGATTGTGATGTCATTATAGGTGAATTGTGTCGAAGGTAAGGCTTGATTTTGTTTCTCTTCTAGTTTTAAATGTTGCGAAATTATCTTTTGCATTACTCATTTTTGTATATGATTATTTCAAATGATGTTCGCCGTCCTATGTATACTCTAAGTATATGCTGTAAAGGAATGGTGTAAGTTTAATTATCAATTGGATGTTTCATAACGTAAATTATTTTAAAATACTTTCCAAAATATTGCAGGGATTTACTAATTATTGCACTAATGTTGTGGGTATTTAAACACTATCTTTTTCAGAAGAAATTAAATATTGGGGTTATCCCAAAGAACCATTTGTTGTTGATAATTAATAATTTATTTGTGCCTTATTGTAATTATATTCATTTCAAATATATATATGAGAGATTATAAGACACAGTTTTACAAAATATCTGTTGAAAAATGGACTGATAACTAAAATAGAATTTTACGGGAGCTACTCACTCACTACTTTTTGTCCACTCTTTGTGTACCTTTGTTCATTACACATGCTCCTTGTGATTCTTTGTAACAATTGTAGTTCTCTTGATGGTCTGTTTTCGATTAAGTTACAACAGCTTGAATCTTATGCCTGGTAGTGCAGTCTTGGAATCAAAAAGTTAACATGTAATGTGTGGTTATGTTGGGCAAGCATCACTACTACAAAGTAAAGTGAAGTTTCCGTCAAAAAGATGACACAGAAAAAGGATCTGGGCATAATACTCCCTTGGTCACTCCATCTCTTCAAGAATTTAGACATAACATTCACCAATATATTAAATTGCTTCCACAGTTTGAGAAGATTCTGACCTTCAGTGCATAACTTCCTGCTGCTAGTTAGTCAAATTATGTATGCATTGACAAAAACCCTTTACTTGAAAAGTCTTCTAACCTTAATTAATATGTATTGACAAATCAAGAGGTTAATTTAACGTTTTCGATTATAATTAGAAATGATTCATATTTTATTACATTAATAGTAATGCGAGTGCTGCTGCATCGATATTAACAATTTTAGCTGTATTTGACAGAGCTCCAACTAGTCTGGAAAAACCTTGAAATGCCAGGGACTCTGATTTTGACTATAACCAAGCTTAGAATAGATGATCAGTTGCTGAGATTCTAGTTAATTCTAACATCTGTTATGATTATTTTTTTAAAAAATTCCACATTACGATTGATATTTTTTAAAATGTTTTCCTTTTTTAATCATTTTTTTTTCTCACTTAATTTAATATTTGACATTAAAAATGAAACAACTCGTGCTTTTCTGATGAAATACTACTTTGTATTGAAAAGATATAGTTCCAGAACTCTTTGGCTAGTGATGTCAAAATATTGCTTTCAGAAGCCTTTATTGTTCTCAGACCCAGTTGATTTGTTCCGATTGATCTGGAATCTCTTTGGTGTACAACAATGTGTTTGCCGGCTGTTATTTACATTTTTCTTTGTTTATCTAGTAGCATAAATGTTTTCGATACATTTCCTGCTGTTTCATGGTATTTGTCTGTGTATAAATTGATACCATTAGAAGATGGCAGATCAAATTCTTGAATGATTGGTTTGAAAAAGAACAAAACTGTATTTTTCTAAAAGAATGGTTGGAATCAGTTGCTGGTGATGTATATTCCACAAAGTTTGGTTTATGTTTTGAAGTTTTGGGGATATCGGGAGATGTTTTGTTCGATCTCATAAAGGAAAAAATTTCTTCAAAAGTTTGAGAGGTTTAAAAGAAATGGTCAACCAACCCTATTTGATTGGATGCTAAATAAAAGTAGTGGTGGTACTGCTGTTTGAGGATTATGCACTTAGTCTTAGATAGGTAATATGTAAAATTGAAACTGTTCATTTTTACACTTCAAAGATTTCATTTTTGACTTGATATATTTAGGAATTTTTTTTTTTTACTCATCACTTCTGAGATATCTGTATATGGATAGGAATATATATGTGTGTGTGTGTGGAATATATATGAATAGGAATAATTTTCTGTTATGTAATAAACTACAATGTAACCTGTTTTAATCCTAACCAAAACCTCTCTATAATCCTAAAATTTTAAAAAATTGTGCTGCTACCTCTGACTTATTTGATTGTCTCTACATATTTCTAATTTATTCTTTCAGGTTGGAAGATGAATGGAAAATTGATGATACCATACCTCGTCAACATTTAAAAGAAATTAATGCCCTTCCACCTCCATCTGATCTTCCGCCTCATAATGAGGACACTTCTGCAGATTGTCAAAGTGCAGCTGAAGTAAATAACAACCACTCAATTACCACCGGTGAATCACGTAACTTACCACAAAACGATGAAAGCAACAGCTGCGAATACAAAGGTCTGTCAGCCATTAAACTAGATGATAGTGAAGACGGCTCCAATCAAGAGAAACCCCTCACTGATCCTTGTTCTACTAATCAAGAATTACCTGAGTTAGGAAATGCATATTCCAGTTTCTGGCCACTCAGTAGTAGGGAAAGTTTATCAAAAAGATTGCCTGGTACATATATTTTTTAACTTTTGACAGTTTCACATTTTTGCAGAATGTATGGTCCTATAATAATAAATACAGTAGTCTTCCTATAACTGAAAAGTGTAGGAGCATTAAATAATATATATTACCCATATCATTAAGCAGTATGGCCCGAAACGATTGTCTCAAGTTATAATCCTAAAAGTTTTTGTTATTTTTTAACAAAATGAATAACAAAGAACGTAGCACTGACTATTCAGAATAAGCAAATAATTGGTAGTGTACCCAATCAACCAAGCGCAAGAAACAATAAAATAGATATAAAAAAAAATAAATAAAAAAACTCAGTCTACTTTGAATGCTAAATGACCCAGAGAGCTACATTTTGTTTAATTTTGTTCAGTTTTTAATAGCATTTTATTGAATATGTAATCTATTTGTTAATTTAAATTAAATTTTTCAAATAATTTTAAAATTCAGTTTTTCTGGGGAAAAAATATTAAATTTTTTTTTTAGCAGTGAGTTTGTTCAAATTTTACAATTGTATTCCTGTAGATTTACGTCCTCTAGGTTACAATTGTATTCCTGTAAGTATCTGGATAGTTGACCTAAAAAAAAAATTTTTTTTTTAATTTCTTCATTTGATACGGAATTACCTTAAACTGCTTCATATCCTGCCCATGAATAGATTTTTAATGGTGTAATTAACAATGAATATTAACTTAATAAATATTAACTATATTTTTAATTATAAGCAGTCATGATTTTTTTTTAAAATACCAAAAAAATCGGATTTTTTTTTATTTTAATCGGATTTTTTTGATTTTAATCATGATTTTTTTATAATTTCAATTCTATGGAATATAATCAATTTTGTGTACCATAGATTTAAAGTTGTATTGTATTACTATTGTTACTTATGGTATACATTGGAAATAAACATTACTAACCATTATCAACAAAATATTTCTTAATAATTTAAAAGCAAAAGGTGAAATAAGAAATAAACAATAACAAAGTGATTTCAAACTACAAATCAAGAAAGAAATTGTTTATCAAACAATATGTGATAATTATTAATTCTACATCTACAATATCAAATTATTTAAACAATCATTTAATTAGTTTTATTTAAAGATTTAAACATAAGGACTAATTTAGCTGCCTTTTCTACACCCAATTGATTCCGTAGTTTAGTATGTACAAGTCCAAAAGTGGAAAACATCCTCTCTATCCCTGCAGTTGTTCCTTTTGCAGTACATAACAACTGTATTGCATCAAACTCTTTTTGACCTACACAGTTCTTTAGAAGCGCAATTGATTTCCACCATTCCAAGATGTTTAAAGATTCTAGAGATTCTTTATCAAACAAAGTTCCATTAAACGGAGGAGAGCGTACAATGAATTTTAGCAAAATACTTAATAAGGAGGTTTCTCCATACTTTTCTTTAACAAAGTTTACAGCTTGATCTTTTTCATTTAGTGTTAAACATTGTACTTCAGAATTAGGATCCAAGAGGTAAGCTAGGAAATGAGCTGGTGTTAACGCTTGTTCATATCGTTTAGTAAAAAAATTTTTGCAGCAATTATTATTAGAATCTTTCAGAGTTTCCTTTAAATTTTTCCAGATGTTGACAACATTTGATAAACTACAATTATCTTTTTGCATTTTATCTAATGCTACAGAAATGGGTTTTAACATTAAAAGCATATCTTCTGCATTTCTTTTAATTGCCATATTCATGACTTTTGACCTGATATTGGTGTCGATATCATCCCTATTATCCTCACAAACTTGCATGAAAGTTGACCAATTCTTGATGTAGCTTTCTAATGAATCACACATAGAATTCCAGCGCACTTCAGTTGGCCGAATTAATCCAGTACCTTTAAGCTCATTGTATTTAGCTCTAATTATTTGATGATGTTGTTGTTTTTGTTTTGTAATGTTCCATGCTGCTATCATAGCTGTAATCATATGTAAACTGTTCAATGAACTATAAATATAATATGTAAACTGTTTTTAAAAGCAAATGAGTCACATTGAAAGTAGAAATGTTGAATTATATGAGTGAGATCTGAGAAATATATAGAACAGTCTACTTACTTGTTTATGTTTGAAACTTAGAAAAATAAACAAAAAATGTTCAAGACTATACACAAAATAGTTTTTTTTTGATTGAAATCAGTGATTTTTTAAAAATATCATTTGATTTAAATCATGATTTTAATCATTTGATTAAAATCATTTACACCCTGATTATAAGACTAAGTTAAATAGTTTTAAATTTATTGCTCTGTCTAAATTTAAATATTTAGTAAAGTTTATTAAAAAAAATTTAAAAATCTCAATTTTTTTAGTGAAATTTTCTAGAAAGCAAATTGTTCAACAAGAACTTACTAATTTTGTTTGACCCTACATTGTGTGTTTGTCTATTTCATCAAGTTTTTACACATATCTATTTGTATATTGTTCTCATCAGGTTTTTATGCAGTTGTAAGCTGGTTAAAATTTTCTCTAACCAGCTTTCAACTGCATAATAAGTTTTTAAGTTCAGGAATGATAAACAATAAAAGAGTTGGCTTAGTTCTGTGCTTTTTTTTTGTAATAAATTTTTACTTTTCACTTGGTTTCAAGTCTGAAAAAATAATCTTTTATTTAACTTGTATGTTAGAAAATAAAGCTATTATCCCCAGGTAGTAAAGTTTTTAATACTTATTCAGTTGGAGCTGTATCCAACGAAGTCGCTAAGACCCTATAAAAAGCTCCTTATATGGAAAATTTGTTAAATAGAAAATCATCATTTGAAATACTTAACGCAAAGCAGATTTTAAATTCATAAAGACTAGACATAATTAAAATAGCCATTGATACACCTTTATGCTGTAAAATATTACCTGCTATCGAATTGTTTCAAATGATTTTAACATTTCATGTGAAGGTTTAGTGATTTCTTCATTTCTGTCTTCATCCTCTTCGTCTTCCTTAGAATTTATTGCTAAATTGTTTTTATTTTTCACTCTGTCCTAAATTATCTGATTCAGTTAATGTTTCTGTGACTGCCGCTTCAGAATCAAAAAGAAAATAATTTATCAGTACATCATTGTCAATTTTGTGGTTCTCTCTGAAGGCCTGGTATCTTAGGACAGGTCGGCATTACAAAATGTCAGCTTGAAGCGAGCACTAACTCCTGATTGATCAATTTGTGAGTTAGACAGCATACATCATCGAACGCTCAGCTTGAACGGCTACTAATGTCCGAATCAACTGCATTCGAATTACACTGTATCGTTGGCTACAGAAGCAATGGCAGACAACATCCAACAGAGCATTGAAATGCGCCAAGATTTTAATTTTAACATTAAACGTAGCTTCTTCATTTAGCTAAGCTATAAAGGGTTTTTTTCTTGAACAAAGTCATTATATGTTCTCTAAAGCACTGGTCGACAGTAACCAAATCAATACAAATTCAAAATAATTATTTGTTTACGTTATTAACGCATGCGCATTAAGGCTCTTGCCTTAAGAAACCAGGCATTTAGCTGTACCCACATTTTTTAAGTTCTAATAGAATATCATCCTCGTCCTTCGCACTTTTCAAATTCTCTGCTCTGACCAAGAATTCAGCTTTAGCAAAACTTTTATGAATCTCTGTAACATCATAGTTTGATGCTGTTACGCTTTCTTATAAATTGATTTTTGGCATGGATTCATGCATGAAATGCAAACAAAAAGGGAAAGGCATTTTACTGCTTTCCCTAATAGTTAAGTAGCTGCTAAAATCAATAAAAGGTCATTTCCCCCATGAAATACGTTAACAAGTTTGAATTGTTCTGAAATATTTTGGGAATTAGGGAAAGTGAATCTCAAAGTATTCATTCAATAGAAAATTTGCTTTGTTATTTGGAAGTTATTTTACAGAGAAATTTACAAAATTTTCTTGGTTCCTCGAAATTTGTTAAATGGAAATTCGTTAAACAGTAGTCCGACTGTACTTTGAAAAATTTTTTATCAAACAGACTTGTTTCATCTCAGAACCTGATTTTTTAAAATTAATTTTTCTAAAAATAAAAATTCCCCCTTAAATATTAAGACTTTCTGCGCTTCTAGTTCTCATTAATCGAAAGTTGCAAATGTGTTTACGTCTGCTTAAAAATTTTAGTTCAAATTTATCTTTTAGGGATGATAATGCTTTTCTTAAATTTTATAGACCAGTCTTAGTTTAAATTCTTTATCTTTGTTTCCTTTCTTTACTTAGATAAGAGTTTCTTGTACTTTCCTCCAAGTCGTTACATATTTGAAGGTGCCGAAGTTTATCAAGACGAAGATGACGATTGTTGTAGCACATCCACCGATTATTCATCAGATAGCGATTCTCCCTCAAGACCTACAACTTCTGAAAATCTTCCCACTGAAGAAGTAATGCATCAAAATCAGTTTACACCTCTGGATGACGTTCATATCCAATCACCTGTTGTCAGTGAAAATACAGACTCTGGACATCCTAGTGATAGTCCCAAAACATAGAAAATACTTATTTCAATATTAGTTGTAAAATATAACTGCAGTTTTATTGTAATGATTTTCACTGATTTATGTAAAAGTAGACCAGTACTGTTAACCTTTCTATTCATTTTAAAAGTATTAGTAATGGATAAAAAAAATGTTTTTAAAAGTATCCTTGCATTTCAATGCTATCATTAATAAACCTGTCCACGTGCATCAAATTTTTAAAAAGAAAAAAATATTTTTAAGGTATAAAAAAAGATGTTGGATTTGTTGCATTACTATTGCTATGCTAGTTTGTTATTAAAAATCTTATTAATTGCAATTCATAAAATATAAGGAAAGTGATTGGGAATTTCGTCCAGGTGTTATTGAATTGATTGCTGTATTTATTGCAAAAATGTATAGAGGACAATCATGCTATCCTTAATCCTAAATCTAAAAATAATAATGCCTGCAAGTTGTACATAATATTTCTAAATTTTCATCTCCATAGCATGTTATCTGTGCAGTTAATTTTTACAACTGTTTAATTTTTAAATTTAAGTTTTTATTTTTCTTAAAAATTGAAGTATCTAATTAAAAAACTGGTCCATCTAAAAAGAAATTATTTATTCAAAATAAAAAGAAAGAAAGAAAAATACTTTTTGTGATGTTTTATATTGAAAACTTGTGTTTGTGTTAAGAAAGTTGAAAAAAGGAAAAGAATTTGTGATATTGGACTCTTAAATCATTTTGCAGAAGGAAAACAGAGTTATGAAAAAGGTTTCTTTTTGTGTATAATAGAAAGCTGTGTGACGTATTGTATGGCTTTTCAATCTGTAATTATTCAATAATAGGTTTTATTTTTTGCACATTTGTACATAAACTCAAACGTTTGCTCTTTAATGTATGCAAATATTAATGTATCATTTCTGCACATATTAAATTGAGCTATAGCGTGTAACTTGTGCTTTTTAATGATTTTTTTTATTATTTTTATTTAATTAGTAAATACCTGCAATTCAAAGTAAAATACTAATTTTGGATATTTATTATTATATTGTGCCAAACAAGATTTCTGTTTAATATTTATGCTTATTTTTCCTTTAATTTCCACACTTTTTTTTTTTAATGTAAGGAATTTGTATAAAACTCAAATTCATGTTAAAAATTGGGACCAAAAGTTTATTTTTAAAGATTTATCAGATATGGCAGTTTTACTAAGGATGCAAAAATGTAAGAAAAAATTTGAAACTTCTATTTGCTAAATATAAACAAATTTCAGAATTGATAAAACTAATCGCTTGTATTTTAAAAATTGATATTTTTTTCCTGACAAAGCATTTTTTTTTTTTTAAATGACCTCTGAAATGCTTCTTATTTCAAATTTAGGGTTACATTATAATGTTTTCCAAGTACAGACCGGACAGCTTTAATATAAAAGTATTGCATTCGGCTGAAGTTTGCCCTTTTTGAATTTTAAATTAGGCTTGTGCTTATTGAATTTTCAAATTTTCTCTTATAAGCCGATCACCTTGCACTTCTGTGTGAAATGACTATTGCATTATCTTTCCCCATTTTTAATTGTTACAAGATTTTGTAACTTGCACATTACTGTTGTGAATTTTGGTGAGATGTTCCTCTTAAATTTTTTCATAATCGTTTCGAATTGCTTCAGTTTTAGATAATATTTAATCCTTTTTGTTAAGTTTATTTTTTTTTTAACTTCTAAGTGTAAAAAATAGCTTCAGTTGCAGTGAGAAATGGTGCAATGTTTTAAAACATGTCAAAGGAAATAAATTGTTCTTGAGCATGTTTTAAGTGTGATAAAGATTTCATGGGAAAGGACTTAGAATCCTCCTCCTTTTTTTTTTCGCGCATTTGTATTTTGTCATTTTTTTTTATTTTAAAAACTTGATTTTTAATCGGTCTTTCTGTCCTATTTTATATAAAATATTTGTGCTTACTTTTAAGTTTTTCAAGTGTTGTGATTGCTTTCACTAAGTTTTGATTCTGTTACATTTTGCTTATTTTTTTTTAAAATCTGTACATTCTGTGAAACAATCTGCATAAATGCTAATGGAAAACATATTTCTGATCATCACTTCATTATCTTATTGTATATAATCATTTTTGCTCTTTGTTATAATGACATTTCTTGTTTGAGTTTGTACGCAAATAATAGCTTGCAATTTTGGATTTCCCAAGTGATAAATATAATTTCACTAAAAACTGAATAAATTTAAACCTTCTTAACATATTTTCAAAAAGATTAAAAATGTATTTCCCCCTTTTTCACCCCGCACAAGATGGCACTAATTTTAACTGAAAATTTTGTCTTCACGGAATATTATCAATAATTTTCTAACCATATGAAAACATGGAATTTTGTGTTACCATTTAATTGTAATAGGAAAATATTTCGTAGTGTATTTATGTTAAAATTATTCCTTTTTTAGTGAAAGCTTTGGTTTGTCTCTTGGTGAAAGAAAATCTGAGGTGACAAAATGGATAGGTTTTGCCTGCCTAAATTGTACAGTTTTAATGAATATTCTTCTATATAATATATTTTCTGTGTTATTTATTTATAATTTAGTTTTGTAAATGTCGCTTCTGTATTTCTTTTTAAAAATTTTATTTTGTTCAAATTCATCTGAATGTTAAACATAACTATCTTTACATAAGATTAGTAACTATTCTCCATACTAAATAAATGTACTTATCAAAATTGCTTGTTTTTCTTTTGAAGATTAGGTTCAAGGAGTCAAAAACTATTTAAAATTTGTTAACTTGAGTATTACAGTGTGTCAAACTTAGCTTACAAGTTTTTAAAAAGAAAAGATAATACAGTGTTCCCTCGTCACTTCGCTCTTCATGTTTTGCGGCTTCAGTGCTTCGCGGGTTTTTCCAAAATATTCATCAAAAAGTTAAACCATGTCTGCTGCCACATTGCGGAAATGAGCATTGTTTCATGTTGATGCGTAATAGAGAAGGATCCCTGCATGTCAAACTAAGAGATGAGTTGACTCAGAGTACATATACCACAGTCTCTCATGAAGGTGCATGATTGGTTGATTAACCTTTATTACTGTATAAGGTTTCGTAATTCTTAATAATTAGCACTGACACGTTTAAGTAAATATGTATATTGTTGTAATTTTTATCTTAAATGTATAAAGTGTTAATACTGTTTATATATTTAAAACATTCGTGTACCCACATACATGAAAATTCCTACTACTTCGCAGTTTTTCAGCTTTCACGGAAGGTTCTGGTCCCTATTAAGAGCGAAAAAACGTGGGATTATTGCCAACAGCTTTAGTCTTCGAGCTCGTGGCACTTTTTAGTGAATGTATGAAAAATAGTATTTCCTAAGAAATATACTTATATAATTTGGTTAAAATTTATGTGGTTCATTTTATACCTCATAAATTTGAAGTAAGCTTTTTTTGTTGATTTATAATGTTTTACTCACTAGTTAATTTAAGAAAATTATTATAAAAATTAAAGTACAGAAGTCTGGAAAAATCCATAATATTCACTCAGAGCTTCGCCCGACACTGTTATAGAACTTCTGTGGTCATTTTCCAGAAATACTGAAGAATGTTTTCCCCTGATATACGTTGTCTTGGATGGCTTTTTTTAGGGGAGCATTTTTTTAGAATGGAATTTTTTCAATGACAAAAGTGACAGTAGGAAATTAATAAAAAAACTTCAAAGCCTGGGGGAATTGTTTATTAGGTGGGCATACAGCTTTTTTGGCTTGAAAACCCTAAGAGAGAGCTATTTAATTACAATAATTTAATATGTTAAACTTTGAGACCTGCAAATGATACAAAAGTGATTGAATCAATTATTTTTATTAATAATTATTTTGTGTATATTAAGACTTGAATGATATATATTTTTAAAAAAAAAAACTTAGTGGCATCTTATGAAGGATTATTTGTTTCATAAGTTAAAATTGAATTGTTTGTACAGTTTAAAATCATTGTAAACCAAATCTAATAAAATCTGTTTTTTTAATTGGTGCCATAAGGTATTGAACACAAGTTTTAATTTTATATTAGTTTCAATCAAAATTAGTGTAACACTTTTAAAATATCTGATTAAAAAATTAGTTTAACAATAAAAGTAGCTTAAATATGTGACTAGGTTTTGTTAAACATACTGACTTGACTTCACCATTAACTAATTTCAAAAAAAGAAAATGATAGGAAAAGGGTCCGTTTATTTAAATCTCCACCACACTAGTGTAATTTTCAGAACTCCAGGTTTGGGTTCATAAAAAAGGCAAATAATAATAAAAAATATTTCATAGTGCGAAAATTTTCTGCTATTATAAGTTATAATAATATTTAGGCAGTTTGTTTATTTTTAAGGAATGACCTCTGAAGAACATTCTTTATCAATTTATTTTTCTTTGAATTTCGTTTAAAAGTTGTAACCTTTTAAATGATTTTCAAAACAAAGGTTTTATATGAAAGTGTATGTTTACTTTTTAAAGCCATCGATTACTATACTTATTATGAAAATGGCGGAAAACGTCAATATGGAGTAAAGCCATAGTTTTTGGAAAATGAAAAATGTTTGTGGTCTAATTTTTAATATTTAAAAACTTACCCCAATGCTGCATTATATGGGCTCATAAAAAATTTGCAAAAACTGAGTATAAGGCAGTAATTTTGGTAATTTTCATTTAGATGGGAAAATGTCGCCAAATTGGCGATTTAAAAAAAAGCTTAATAACTTTTAAATTATTTAAGTTATTTGTCAGTTCTAAAGCCTAGATAATTCTTCACTTCAAAATTATAAGTATAGAATTAAGTGTAAAGCACTTAAACTGTAGCTTTTTTATTTTCCTTGGATCTCGAAAAACAATGTTAATCTAACCTCATGTTTACATAGGCTTTGTTTTCCATCATTGCGCTTTTATTCATGAGAATTTAAATAGACATATTCCACGATGGTACTCTGAAAAAACTCCATATCCCTTAATAAAAATGATTTTTGGGAGCTTGGAGAAAGAAACCGATGGCTGAGTTGAAATGAGCGGTACGACAGTATGCGATCTCTTACAATAGGAAAAAAAAATATTCCCCAGTGTTATTTTTTGCATGGAATTTTCTATAAATGATTCAAAATTAGAATTTCGTGCAAAAAATTTCCATTTACTTTAAAAGTTCACGAGATACACAAAAAGTATAATTAACCTAACTTTGGACATCCCTCCTGACTAAACTATAGGGACCATATTTCCTAGATTGAGTATTAAATTCACGTCTTCGAAGTTCTCCATAAGTTCAGCTATAAGAACAGATAAAAAAATCTCTTATTTTCTGTTCTGTTTTATAGAATAAAATTTTTAAAAAAAAATCGAAATTCACCTAATGTGAAAAATTTAGGGAACATGACTTGTAAAATTCATTTTAGGAACGTGGAATGAAGCCCAGATGATAAAAGTTTAATAAAAAGTGAAGATGTTTTTCGTTTTAGGTCTGACAAAAAATAGAATTATTCTCTTCTTTTTAGTGCGCTTGAAAAATGTGTTATCATTTTATTGTTTTCTTTTTAATTTTCTGTCTTAAGTTTGTTAATATAAAGTGTTCGAAATTTAGGTGGGCGATTGAATGTAAATAATATTTGGCTTTAGCATTTCGGAAACAATTGTAATTTGTATTTTTCTCTGGTACAGAGTTCCAGTTGAAATTAGAGAATTCTAGCTATAGGCCGAATAAAGCCGAAATTTTATTTGATGATGAATTCAGTTTAGCGTTAAACTGTTTGGTTGACTATCGAATTCTGATGGTAGCAGCCAGTAAATCTTGTATATAGCTACAGGCAACAAAATACGCACAGGTCGAAGACTCCCCTTGTAGTAAATGGTGACTGGTGCAAGTTAAGTTTGTCGGGTCACAAAGTCCTCCGTGTTCCCATAACAAATTATATTTACGGGGGTACTGAATTGGAGATTGATCGTACTCTGGTTCAAGTCAAAATTACCGTTTGTTTATGAATGAACTGATGTATGTATGCGTCTGCCCTATAAACGGGTGTGCCAGAAGTCCAATTCTTGGCCACAGGTGGAGCCACTGGAAAACAAGAACAATCGCACCACTTGCCTTAATGGCCTACGACAACAACAACAAGCATTTAAGTTATTATTTTTTTTTTTATCAGAAATGTCATTATCACACAGTACGGTAATTCAAACAGAATTTTTTTTTTCTCTGTACGCTTGAGATAAAAAAGAAAAACGTATTTATTTCAAATGGATGATGTTTTTAACCCCTTAACGATCGGTTAATTTTCAAGAAAACGGTCATAAAAGGACCTATTTTTTTGGCTTTTGTATTTGTATTACGTATTTGATTAGTGCTGCAACTAGTTTAAAATGAACTATCTACAATTACCTTAAAAATATCGTGGTACTGCCATCAGGTGTGTAAAATGAGAAATAAAATGTTTTCCGGGCAAAAGAAATTAATTAGTTTTATTCTTATTGGCGCGTTACTACTGAACACTCCAGCCCGTCAATATCACGGGTGCGAGAAATAGCAGGCGAAATCTCACCCCGTCATTTTCACGGGAGCGAGAAGGAAGGGGTTAAAGAAACGTAAACAGACACAAATTTCGAGCTCCTTATCCTCACGGTTAGACAGTTTACAGCTGTTCACTACAGCTTATTGTGCGAGATAATATTTTTAATTTTGTTTCCAATAAAGGAAATAAATAATATAATATATGAGCTCAAATCTGCTGCATATCATAAGATATTAAGAACTCTGATGAGTTTGAACTGAAAAATTTGTTTCAGTTCTTAATGGATATATTGTTGAAAAATGCGACATGTTTGCTATATTTAAGAAGAACTCGTTTTTTTTTTTTTTTTTTTTTTTTTTTTTTNAAAACTTATTTATTACTGCTTATTCTTATTGTAAGCAATGCACCGAGCTAAAGTTAGTGTTAGTTTTTAGATAAATATGCTATTGAGAGAAAAAGTTTATTTTGAAAATTATCTTTTAAATTTCTAAATCAGTATATTGTTGGCAAGGTAACTTAAGTGTCAGGGTGCGTAGCGTTTTTAAAAAGTGCTTAAAGGTGCTTATTTTTGTTTTTTAAAAGCCCTTAAAGGTGCTTTTTTCATTGGGTGTTTTTAAAAAGTGCTTAATTTTCCCTTTTTCAAAATGAGATTTTTCCCATACCATGTTAATTTTCGCTAAGAGACACACACACACACAAAAAAAAAAAGATAGGCAAAAAGACACAGTTCGCATTGTTCTATTCAACGTTTTCACAATTTATTTAACCTCAATCTATTTCGGCGTATTGTCAGTCCCTAGCGTATGAAAACGCCATTCGTTTACATGATTCTAAATTTCATGATTTTTGACAATTTGTCTAAAACAATGCCAAAAGTTTTTTTTTTTTTTTGACATGACGGTTAAAACCATCAATTGTCAAAAGCTTTCCAACCCTGCCTAATTATATATTTTTAAAGTGCTTAAAAATATTTTTGACTACCTGAAAAGTGCTTAAAAGGTGCTTATTTTTTATTGAATGAGTGTTTTGAACGATTTTAACTATAATATTATTTTTAAGTTTTTAATACTTCTCAAACCACTTTTTTACTTTCTTTTCACCATTTATGTTTATTATTATTATATAACTACATATACCGTCTTAACTAGCCACTGTTTTCTCATTCTGTGTTCACTGTTTACATATTGAACACGTTAAGCCAAATGGCCACAAAATACACCGATCACAGTAACCCGGATATAAGAGCGGTGGAAATGCTGCAGCTCTCCCTAGTGTATAAAACACTATCCATCGGCATTTTTCTTCCCTGTAATACTGTGGCTGTGCATTAATGGGTTAAGTGTAATATATTATGCATGGTTGACCATGTAAAGCTAAGCGCATCAGATGGCGCTGGGGGTTAAAATTCGTCGTAAGACTTCCGGGTTACAACTTCCGACTGATTTTTACCCCTAAGATTGAAAAAAAGCACCATCCAATATTATTATACTTGTAGTGTTTACAATATAACACGTTCTTTCAACGAAGCAAACAACAAATGAATTCGGAAGACTGCAAGCTTGCTATGATGCTACCCAAAAATAACAAATGGTGCTATTTTTTACTAATATAGCCAGCTGAGGGATAACCCTCAAAGCATAGCGAACCTTACAATTTATTTATACTGTGATATTAATTTTGTTAAATTTATTCTAGGTTTACGACCTGTTAGATTTTGTAAACTACAGAAAATTATTAGGAATGGTAAAAATTGCGCGTAAATTTAAACACAAATCACAATAATAAAACTTCCTAGAATATTTACTCATTCCTAGACTATAGCCTGTTCCACACATCGCCTCATAAGCATAGCATAAGCGAAGGGATACAACGAAAGTCTTCGAAATTTCCTCCGGTTTCATGATTTGTCTGAAATAAGAACTCCCCTAGCCATTCGTCTGAACCCGTGGCGGTGACTATGGCAACGCGGTATTGCTATTTCAAGAAAGGGTGTGGGGTCATTGCTTGGGACCGGTTTTGGCTCAGGTCGGCGAGAGAAAGGGAATCTTCTTCTTCGGTTTAATCTGTTAGACGTGAAGAGAAGCTATCCCCCCTAAAATGCGCTACCCTATCTATAGCAGTAGTCGGCCTCAGACTTTGCAGCGGGGCGAGTTCTTACCGTAGACAAACTATAGGACGCTTGTTATTGTTTACACTCAGTCAATCATCCATAGTATTAATTTTTCAGTTTTAATATATCCAATGGCCCAGGGCAACGAAAAATGTTCAAACCAGGTAAATACAGCATTATTTTAACGAAATTCTAAAAAATAAAACCGACAAAATGAGTAACACTTCAAAGAAAGATCATAAATGTTTTTATTCGCATTATATGAACAAAGAAAAAAAAAGTGCAACGCTAATGATAGAGTAAAAGTATAATGTTATCAGGGTTAAATGATTGCCATTGCCTCTTAAAGACTAGATTTCACAACTTCCGAAATTCATTGTGCTCCTTGAATATTTTTTTGAAGTTTCTTTATCTCACTTGAGTGCTTATTATCTTATAAGAAAAAAAATGTGTATATTGGATTAAGAAATAAAGTATTAGTAACATCAATTGATAGAATAGAAGATGGAATACAATTTGATGGAATACAAGGCGTTTTTTGTTAACATGATGTATCAAAATTTGAAATTCTGCATTTCAATATCAAATGTGGTAGAAAATAAATCAAATGTAGTTCAAAAGTGGTAGAAAATATTACTTAGGTTGATATTAGAATGAAATATCAGCTAAGTTAAATACATAATTTTTAACGTCTTAAGGATTGATTACTTTAATCAAAGTATAGTATAATACAAGTAGTACGTTAAGCTATGATGATAATATAGCATATGATATTATACTATATTATTATATATAATATAGTATAATATAATAGCATTTTGCATTGATTAAATTTTAAATATTAATACATCTAGAATAGTATTTTCTTTTTTTCCCAGTTATATAAAATCGACCTGTTTAATTTCATTTAAATGAATAGTTATATCTATGCCCATTTTAAAACCAATTATTTTAATTACCTATCTTGATTATTATAAATTCTTTGTTAATAGTCTATGCTTTCTCTTTTCGACGTGTTTCAAAAGTTTTTCGAAAGCAATTACAAAAGTTTCAGTTTTATTAACTTGAACTATTTTTAAATAGCTTTAACAAATACAAAGTTTCAATTGTATTGAAGAAGGTGTTTGTATCTTATAACAAATTAGACATCGAACATAGCTACGTTTAGGCGGTGAAAAAAGTTAAATTGATTAAAACGTGAAAGTAAAAAGTATAAAATCATATTTTTTCCTTTAATCCTTTCCTCATAGAGCAGTACCAGTGAAGAACCCAACACACTGAATTTAAAAATATCCTTCGTATATTTTGTCAGCACTTAATTCCGTAAAATATAATTACGTATTTATGAAAATTTAAAAGAAAAGCTAAGCTTTGGATTTTTAAAATTAACAAATTCGAAGCAAACTTTTCACTATTCTTTAAATTTTAACTTTCTGAACAGTGCTAAATTTACTGAAAGCTTATAGTCGCAATACAACTTAAACTATTGAGAAATTGAGAGTAAAAATTTTGATTAAATTACTAATTTAATTTATTATTAATTTTGATTAATTTACTCTTGGGACTTATTCAAAAATGCATTTATTAATTTGAATTTATTTTTATACTGTTGTACCACAGAAATGTTTAGTTTACGAAATGATACACAAAAATTCTTTTAAATCTTCTATGAGTCTTTTCTTAAAAAATTTTAAATTAAAAAATACTAAAACATTTTTTTTAATTAAAATATATANTATATATATATATATGAAATAATTTGCACCTCATGTTTTTAACTATTTGACTAATTTTAATAAACCTCATAACTAAAATATTTTTGTTAAATATGTAACTTGAATTTTTTGTCACATTTAAGACGCATATAATCATAACAATTACTAAGTTCAACAATGAATACAAATGCTTTTATGATTTAAAGAAGAAACAACAACTTTCTTGCGTAATTTTTACATGGATTTCTAAATGATGAATTCAGGATGGATTTTACTAATCCCATTGTTTGTCCGTGGTTTCTTCATGCTAAATAGTTCATTCCTTTTGTTCAAGTATTTGACATGAACAAGCTATGGGCAGCCTGTAAACATCGTCGTGAACACCTTTTTCAACACTCCACGATAGGAGGCGTTGCAGACTGTACTTTTGAACGCATGCTGTCTTTATATCAGCCACTGATGTGCACGGATCACCCATTCCTCTGCAAATAGTTACAGTTCACAGTTAGATGCATTTTAACAATATTTTCGTATAAATATTACATTATATTTACTTTAAGATGTATCGTCATTCTTGGTATTATATATACACAAGGGCTTTTTTTAAGTAAGGGCTGTTTAAAAATAAAAACCAAACGAAAGAAACTTTTAATAAAGCAAATCTATATTTTAAGTGGTGCACGTTAAACCCATAACGATCTGTTAATTTTCAAGAAAACGGTCATAAAAGTGCCTATTTCTTTTATCCCATATCGCAAATACACGTATTTGATTAGTGCTGACATCTAATTTAAAATAAACTAACTGTCTACAATTACCTTAAAAATATCCTGGTACTGCCATCTGGTGTGCAAAATGTGAAATAAAATGCTTTCAGGGAAAGGAAATTAATTAGTTTTATTCTTATTATCGCGTTACTACTGAACACTCCAGCCCGGAAATATCGCGGGAGCGAGAAATAAAGGGCGAAACCTCACTCCGTCATTTTCACGGGAGCGAAAAGGAAGGGATTAAATCTGTTGTGCCTCAAATTCCTCCATGTTCCCATAACAAATTAATACCTCTGGAGGAACTGATCCAGGAGTTCCCTTGTCTTCTGGATTGGGCTCAAAATTACAAGGCTACGGAGTTGAACATAAGTAGTCGTCAACCCAAAATCGGGTCGGCTGTTCAAGGATGGTCATATATACAAAAAAATGCCAATTTTCTTAAACACGTATCATACTTTGCAATTAGATTTAGAATACCTTTTTTATAGTTACTTGCCGCCTGCTCCTAAAACCATACGATCGTTTTCATGTCTTCGTCATCGTTGTACTGGTTTCCACTGAAATGATGTTTGAAACATCGTAGTCACTTAGTGAAAGGTCTGGGGTGTATAGAGGGTGATCTAAAACTTTCCAGTTAAAGGAGTCCAATGAAGTTCGGGACTGAGCTGTGGAGAGAGTCAATGTGATGGGAGTAGCAAAATGTCCTGTCAGTATGCCAGTAGGAAGCTTCGTAAACTTCATAAATCTGTCGGTGAATGTTTGCAGCAAACATGTTTTTTTGCCGATTAGAAACGCATTACTCACCGTACCTCATACTCGGCGGGTGATTTGATAAATTTGAACATTTTAAAGACACAGAACTGACCGTTACCGACACAGCTGTAACTGAGCACAGTTGTTCTCAAGGAATGCCAGGACACGACGCAAGCACTCGTTGTGATACACGCTTCACCTATTAGCTTAGACAACAAAACAGCCCTTACTTAAAAATCAGACCACGTATACATACGTATAAAATCTTTGTCATGATTAAGATTAAAAAAAAAAAAAAAAACAAATAAGCACATTAGGAGCTCGTTCAAGGCAACTGAAAAAGGCGCAACTAAAAGCGTCAGAACCTGCTTGACCAATTGAGGAAGCAGAGAGTAGTTTAAAGGCGATTATTAGAAACATGAGATAATTATAGTCTTATAAGGATATCACAACTGGTTTTGATGTTTTTCATGTCGCCTCTCTTTCTAGTGCTTTTATAGATTTCAATAAAGTTTCTACTAGGTAGCCAATTTGTAGAATAATTTTAAGACTGGTAGAAAAAGGTCGAAGGAACAATATATTTTAATTAATTAGCTTGGACCAAAATTATTTGTAAATTAAATGTCTATGCTACAACTGATTAACTATATTCCTGAAATGGACATAAAATTAAAGACTTTAAAGTCTACAAGAACCTCAAGAAAAAATTGGCACCACTTTTCGAATTTTTTCAGTCTGTGGCTACTCAATAGCCTTAATATTAATTTGTAGCCCCAAACATTGACTTTTACTTTGACAAGAATTCTAAAAATATATTAAGAGCGGCCAGTAATAAATCACTTACAAATACAACGTGAGCTCGCAGCGCACTCGGTGAATAACAGTGACACAACTTCTTTTCAAGTCCTAAAATAACTACATGCAACTTTCTTGCTTGAAAAATTTAATCATTTGACATAGCACACTTTTATAATTTAGTGCTATGGGCTGTGGTATCTTAGTGGCTAGAGAATTGGACTCCGGTCCAGAGAGGCACTGGACTGGTCAGAGAGAGAGAGAAAAAAGCCATAGTTTAAGTGCCTTATACTTGAAGCAATGTGATGATTTTTAGCAAAACAAAATGTTATATTAAGTTGAACAACCAAGACCTTTCGATAGATTTTTAATTATTTTTTTTCTTTTTTCAAATGGCAGGCACTGAACATCATTCTTCGCCTTAGAAGATGCCGGAATTGTTACTCATTTCACGTTACCCAGTGGGCACCTGTGAACCAAAGTCACGGAGGCGAGCAACATTACCTACGCCACACTGCCACGGGTTTGGCCGGATAGATTTTTAATTTGTTGTTGTTGTTCATTTACGTAGCACTAGAGCTGCACAATGGGCTATTGACGACGGTCTGGGAAACATCCCTGAGGATGATCCGAAGACATGCCATCACAATTTTGATCCTCCGCAGAGGGGATGGCACCCCCGCTTCGGTAGCCCAACGACCTGCACGCGAAGTCGAG